TGGAGACGACGGCTGCAGCAGCTGCGGCGACGGCGGCTGCGGAGGCGGTGGAGGAGGAGACACCGGGGGAGGGACAGACGGCGAGGACTGCGACGGAGGACTACCAGAGTCAGAAGACTCGTCGACCGGGACGACCGACGGGAGGGGGGTGACGTGAGACACACCAGAGGGGGCCGGACGGGGGGGCGGGGGGGGGGAGGGGCAGGGACCACCAGGGAGGGAGGAACCAGGAAAAGGGGGGGAGTAACCGGGGGACCACGGTGGGGAAAGCGGCGGTAGAAGGAGACGGACTCGTCAAAGGTGACGTCGCGAGAGTGAAAGAAGCGGTGAGACGGCGGGTGGTAGAAGTGCCAGTCGGACGCGTCAAGGGGGAAACCGAGGAAGACGCAGGGGAGGGTGCGGGCAGTGAGCTTGTCCGTGCCAGAGGCACGAACGTGAGCAAGGCAGCCCCAGACGCGGAACGCAGACGCGTCACCAGGGGACCCGGTCCACAGAAGGGTCGGCGAAACCTGCGGCCGCTGGGGGTGCGGCCACAGGTTAAGCTGGTGAGCGGCGTAGCGCACGGCGAACGGCCACAGAAAATGGGGTGCACCGGCGTGGATCATGGAGGTGCGAGCCACCTCCATGACCAAACCGATGCGTCGCTCAGCGACCCCATTCTGCTGCGGGGAGTCCGGCAGGGTAAACGTCTGGGTGATGCCCTCCGCACGACAGAAGCGACCAAGGACACCTGAGGCAAACTCGCCACCCCGGTCGGAGTGAAGGCGCAAGGCAGGGAGACCGCGGTGGACACGAGCAGAGACAAGCCAGGGGATGAGAACGTCAGGCACGTCGGCCTTCCGCTCCAGGGGGAAGACGGTGGTGTAGCGCGTGAAGTCGTCGACAAGCACTAGGAAGAAGCGCTCGCGACGCGGCCCATGGACCGGGGCTGGGCCCCAGACGTCCATGTGCAGAGTCTGCAGTGGTGCGGTGGTAGGGGGAAAAGAGGAGGAGTGAGGGGCACGGCGGAGCCGGCCCTCGACACAAGGCGTGCACGGTGGGGCGGGGGAGGAGGGAAACTCGGGGAACGAACCGGGGAGACCAAGGACGAGACCGTGCTGGGACATGTGACGCAGACGCGGGAGCGCAGGGTGACCTAGGCGGTGGTGCCAAAGGAGAGTCGGGTGAGTGAGGGACCGACAGGAGCAGGCAGCAGCAACCTGGGTAGACGCAGCCACCTGAGGGAGCGCTCCAGCCGGGGGGGTCACGGTGTCCAGAGTGAACAGGCCGGACACTGGGTCCCGGGGGAACGTGGACAGGGGGGCACCAGTGGCGGCCTCGGTACAGACAGCATACCGCTCGTGACCAGGGAACGTAGTGGTGACGCCAAGGTCCTGGAGGCAGCCGACACCAACGAGGTTCCTGGAGAACGAGGGGATATGCAGACCTGTGAGAGTGCCCGAAGGAACCGCCGGACAGGGAAGGGAGGTGGAACTGCGGGCAACGACGGGACCACCGGAGGGGTCAGCAAGAGTAACTGCAGCGGGAACAGGCAGCGGCGTCAGCGTCGTGGAGTCGCGGAAGAAACACCGGGAGGCGCCAGAGTCCAAGGTGAAGGAAAGCGCAGCAGTCGCGCGAGGCAGCAGTGAAGCGGTGGAAGCACCAAGGCTAAGCAAAGCAGGAGATCCTACGCCTGACGCAGCAGGGGAGTCTACGCTAGGCACCGCTACACTAGGCAACACGGGGTAATAAGAGGGAAGCACACTAGAGTCATCAGCATACATCACATGCAAGGCCGCTACAATGGCATCCATGTCCAAGTCAAAAATCCTAATGCTACGCCTAAGCAAGCTGTGCCAGTCCGGGAGGTCGGGCGCCGGGCCAAAGCGCTGGCGGAACAGGTCGTCCAGGCGACGAAAACAGCGAGGAGTAGAATGACCGATCTTACCGCAAACGAAGCCGCGGCGAGGACCGGTCTGGATCTGGTACTGACAGGGCCCGCCTCCAGAACCACCACCCGGTGCACCACCACGCGCACGACCACCACCAGCTCCAGGCCACCCAGGTGGGAGAGTACTCGCCTGCCTCGTCTGCGGCGGCTGCTGCGGCTGCTGCGAAGGCTGCGGCTGCGGCGACTGCTGCTGCTGCGGCTGCTGCAACTGTGGAGGCAGCGGGGCAGCTGGACCGGGCAGGGTCCCCACGTCCGCACCGGCACCGGACGACCCGCCTCCACCACTACCCCCACCCGCACCCCCGCCGCCTCCGCCGCTCCCAACCTTGGGGCGGCGGCCCTTCGCCGAGCGGGACTGCACTGCAGCAGCAGTCTCAGCCACAGCGACAAAGCCGTCGGAGAAGGTACACTGAGCGGGGGCACAACCCTGAAAGATAGGGACCGGTACTGTACCGCTCGCCAGGGCTATGGAGCGGTGACGAGTCTCTATGGCAGTCAGGGTGTCAACAAAGTCGGTGAGGGTGAGAGCAGCAGGGTGGATGCTAAGGAACTGGTCGCGGGCGGCGGCAAGGCGGTCAGGTAGGCGGGTGGCAAGGAGGTAGAGGGTAGAGGTCATGGGAGGCTGGTGGACTCTAAGCTGAGCATCAGTGCAGGCAGCGCGCCAGGCCTCATCTATCGAGCGCAGGTGGGCAGCGAGGTCAGAGACAGTGGGGAAAGACGTCAGGTCAGGAAAGAGCAGGGGAAGGATCAGGCGACCCACTGAGGCAGCAGGAGGGGTAGAATAGCGCTTGATGACAGCATCGAGGTAGGCCTGGGCGGTAGGAATGGTTCTAAAGCGAGGGCGCTCAGTGGGGGGGAGGGCATTGCTAATGGCGAGCTGAGCAAGGGCATCGCGGGAAAGCCAGACAGAGCGGGCAAGGGCAGCAGCGGCAGTGGACTCGCGCTCAGCGGGCGTGGGATCAGCGGGCAGCACAGCAGGGGGGTCAGGGCAGGGGAGCATACCGTCTAGGTGTGCAGAAAGCGGGTGGCCGTCCTGCCGCTGGCCAGTGAGGTGGCGGCGAAGGTCAGCCAACCACGCCTCGAACTCCAGAGGCTGACCCTCAACATCAAAACGAAGCTCAGCAGCCATGAGGGGCAGTGGAGGACAGTGCAGTGCGGTGCAGTGCGATGCAGAGCGGTGCAGTGCGGTCCAGTGCGGTGCAGTGCGATGCAGTGCGGTGCAGTGCGGTCCAGTGCGGTGCAGTGCGGTTAGTGCGATCCAGGGAGGTGCAATGCGATGCAAGGCGGGGCAGGAAAGTGCAGGAGGGTGCAAAGTGGTGCGGGGAACGGGGGACAGTACCAGGAAGTATGGAGGGCCGGGGCAGGTGCGTCGGGGCCGGGCAGGCACGACAAGGCCGGGCGGCGGCGACGGGGCCGGGCGGCTGCGACGGGGCCGGGCGGCGGCGACGGGGCCGGGCGGCAGCGACAAGGCCGGGCGGCTGCGACGTGGCCGGGCGGCTGCGACGGGGCCGGGCGGCTGCGACGGGGCCGGGCGGCAGGGACGAGGCCGGGCCGGACACAGCAGGGCCGGGCAGGGGCGACGGGGCCGGGCGGCTGCGACGTGGCCGGGCGGCTGCGACGTGGCCGGGCGGCTGCGACGGGGCCGGGCGGCTGCGACGGGGCCGGGCGGCAGGGACGGGGCCCGGGCAGGCCACAGCAGGGCGGGGCAGGGGCGACGGGGCCGGGCGGGCGAGCAGGGGCCGGGCAGGTGCGACAGGGGCCGGGCCGCCGCGACAGGGGCCGGGCGGGCGCCACGCGGCCGATAGGCCGCGACGGGGCCGAGCAGGGGCGACGGGGCCGAGCAGGGGCGACGGGGATGGGTAGGGGCGCGACGGGGCCTGGAGGGGCGTTACCAAGCCCAGGTAGGGGCGCGACGGGGCCTGGGGGGAGCGCAAAGGGGCCCAGGAGGGGCGCTACGGGGCCTGGGAGGAGCGCGACTGGGCTAGGGAGGGGCGCGACGGGGCCTGGGAGGAGCGCAATGGGGCCCAGGAGGGGCGCTACGGGGCCTGGGAGGAGCGCGACGGGGCCCTGGAGGGGCGCTACCAGGCCCTGGAAGGGGCGCGACGGGGCCTGGAGGGGCGCTACGAAGCCCTGAAAGGGGCGCGACGGGGCCTGGAGGGGCGCTACAAGGCCTGGGAGGAGCGCGACGGGGCCCAGAAAGGGGCGCAACGGGGCCCAGGAAGGGGCGCGACGGGGCTAGGGAGGGTCGCGACGGGGCTAGGGAGGGTCGCGACGGGGCTAGGAGCACGACGGGGCCCAGCTAGGGGGCGAGCGGAAGCGTGAGGGGGGGGGGGGGGGGGGATCCTACCTACGCGTGATACCATATCAGACAGTGAAATTGATGTAATAGAGAGAGAGAGTACACAAACATATACCTAACAGTTGTACTCTCTAGAAGATGACCCTATACAGTCTATACAAGCATGATAACTAAACATGTTTGACAGTGGGCTGTGCAGGAGAGAACTAAAGGCCGAACCTCTGAAGGACCTGGCACACCAAGTGTGACTGTGAGAGAGTGATGGTGCGGCGGCAACAGGCCATGTCGCTGTCGCCGCTGCCGGGACGGCCGCCGTCGCCATCTCCAGGGCCTTGGGGTTGGGCCCTGCTGGAGTAGTCGTAGCTGATGGGAATGAGGGTGCTAGGCTAGGGGGTGTGGGGGTGTGTGGGTCCTTGCTACCAAGCCTAGGGGGTGTGTTAAATTATATATGTTAGTATATAATTGTAGGATTGGTAGTGGTTACTGAACATTTCTGTTCAGGGTACAACACCCCTCGTATCCCTCTCTCTTCTTTTCTAGTTCTCTTTTCTCACCAACTTTCATACCCTAAAACCTCACGCCATTTCCATGGCTCCTCCTACCTAGATCCTAGTTTTCAGACACTGGAACCCTATCCCTGGTTCGGGACTGTTCTTGTCGTACGTACGCCCCGTAGCAAGCCTCAGTAAGGAATGACTAATTCGGTACACAGCACAAGTTTGTTACCTACCCGTTACTAGCACAGCACAGCAATGTTACTGTCCCCTGCAAAGTCATCCGACTCACAACAAATTCAAACTAGAATGATGACTGCTACAAGATACAGCAACACTCATAACCTACCATAGTACAAGTACCCAGTCTACACTAGATATCCACCACGCATCGTTAAAAAGCAAGCAGAACAGTCTTAGAGCTACGGTTGCCGATAAAGCAACACTAGACCTGAGCTGTCTATAAAAGCAAAGAAGCATAGCATAGAAAACTCACAAGCCAAGCAGGAATGCAATGAACCAAATCCAAACTGCAGTGAGCACCTCAGAAAGAAGACTAGGCGGCTGCTGCTTCTGCTGCTGCCACTGCTGCTGCAGCTGCAGCTATTGTCGCTGCAGCTACTGCTGCTGCTGCTAGGCTGCTGCTACTGCCGCTGTTGCTGCTGCTGTTGGTGTTGCATTACGTCTAGATTCGCTGCATCAGGTGTTAGCAGCCGCATTGCTCTGAGGCGTATGGTCAGCGCCTCACACAAAGCAGCTTGCTTAGCACAGGCACCAGTACCAGTATCAGCACTGCCAGCACTGGTACCAGTAACAGCGCTGATCGTACCGTTACCATTACAGTGTTGCTCTCTTGGCCAGACTGCCACCAAAAAAAGTTGGAAGCTGGAAGTTGGAGGCAGGATCCCCATCCCATTATCCGAGTCGCATCTTCAGCAGCAGCTTGGCATGATATGGCTTGCTCTCTAAGTTAGGAGGTAGGGATTAGGTTGGTAGGTTGAAGCAGCAGGGAACATTCCGAGTTGGCTCGGAACGTCGGGTAGGTGTTAGCTGGGGCAGCAGTTGCGCTGTCCACGTGTCAGGCTGTGATTGGTTGGTTGGCGGTACCAATGACCTGGACTGCTGCTGCCATGTAATATGCCACGTGTGCACATGTGCTAGTATGCAGAAGCATGCATGAGCATATGCCCGTGTGCTTGTATGCATGCATGCTTGTGTGTGCGGTGGTCATCAGCAGCGGGTAGCATTGGCAGTGGTGGTGACAGTGATTGGAAGTTGTGATACGGAGTCATGGGAGTTAGAAGTTAGCAGAGCAAGCATGATGCCTCGTTGCTGCTGAGGACGCTCACCTCACATGCACACATGCATGCACATCCCCAGGGAGTGAACCATGCTCCCATGGTAATCCACCCACCAAGGAGTGCCACGTGCATGTGGCAGCGGGCTACAGCCTATGGGACAGATGGGCTGTGGGGCGGGGAGAAAAGACACCAGGGAAGAGGGAGAGGGCAAAGCGGCACGTCAAGGCAAGGCATGCACACATGCAGGCCCCACACACCCACCGAGGGGACATGTGCAGCCAGCAGTGCGCTATGGGAAAGATGCACTAACATCCACGTACCACCCCACCAGCATACCTTACAATTCAGACTAAGGGTACCCTTAGCAGCCCTGGCTGTATCCCAAGCACACACAGCCCCCTTTGCTCCAGCACAAAGCACTGGCACTAGCACTGGCACTAGCACTGGCACTAGCACCTGCTTGGTCCCCAGAGTAATACACACAGACGTACCACCATCACTCGCAAGAGCAACTCACATGGACACCCGCAGCAGTCCCGACTGTGTCCCAACTTCCACGCGCACACAGGCCCCTTAGTTCCAGCACATAGCACTGGCACTAGCACCTGGTTCGTCCCCAGACAAATACACCCAGACGTAACACCATCACTAGCAGGCGACTTTTGAGTCGGCTCAAACGTCATCGCCAGACTTAAACACACAAACGTATCACCGTCACTAGGAGGAGCACCTCACAAGGACACTCGCAGCAGCCCCGGCTGTGGCTCCAGCACGTGCAGCCCCTCCTGGTCCACGAGATACTGCTCCACCACCGCTGGCATGTACTTAATGCAAGCTCACATGGCGTGTTCCCACCCACACACACATGCACACCTGTGTCCCCGCCCACACCAGTTAAATTGGTTTTTGAGAATTCTCAAAACCAAATCAACTCACACGCACATGCACACCTGTGTCTCGGCCCACACCAGAACTCACACGAACACTCACAGCAGCCCTGGCTGTGGCTCCAGCACGTGCAGCCCCTACTAATTCACCAGGTAGCACTAGCGCCACCAAGCACCCACACCAACACCACACCACCCCAGCCCACCCAACCCACACCGCACCACACCACTGAAACTCACATGAACACTCGTAGCAGCCCTGGCTGAGGCTCCAGCACGTGCAGCCCCTCCTGGTCCACCAGATACTGCTCGACCACCGCTGGCATGTGCTGCAGGGCGCGGTCGCTGGTGTACAGACCAGAGCCGACACGCACATAGAGCTGAAACAGATAGGGCAGGAGAGGAGGGAGGGGGTTGCACAGGGGAGACACAGGGCCGATAAGGATCAGATCTCCTGGTCAACGAGATACTTCTCCACCATTGCTGGCATGTGCTGCAGGGCGCGGTCGCTGGTGTGGAGACCGGAGCCGACCCTCACGTGGAGCTGATGAGAAGGATAAACAGGGCGGGGTTTGGTAAGGGAGGGGAGGGGCTTCTTTTGAGTCGACTCAAAAGCAGACTCACGTGGAGCTGATGAGACGGATAAGCAGGGCGGGGTTTGGTAAGGGAGGGGAGGGGGTTGGTATCGAGGTGACTTTTGAGTCGACTCATAAGTCGCCTCGGAGCCGACCCTCACATGGAGCTGATGAGACGGACAAACAGGGCGGGGTTTGGTAAGGGAGGGGAGGGGGTTGGTATCGAGGTGACTTTTGAGTCGACTCATAAGTCGCCTCGGAGCCGACCCTCACATGGAGCTGATGAGACGGACAAACAGGGCGGGGTTTGGTAAGGGAGGGGAGGGGGTTGGTATCGAGGTGACTTTTGAGTCGACTCATAAGTCGCCTCGGAGCCGACCCTCACATGGAGCTGATGAGACGGACAAACAGGGCGGGGTTTGGTAAGGGAGGGGAGGGCGTTGGTATCGAGGTGACTTTTGAGTCGACTCATAAGTCGCCTCGGAGCCGACCCTCACATGGAGCTGATGAGACGGACAAACAGGGCGGGGTTTGGTAAGGGAGGAGAGGGGTTTGGTAAGGGAGGAGAGGGGTTTGGTAAGGGAGGAGAGGGGTTTGGTAAGGGAGGAGGGGGGTTTGGTAAGGGAGGAGAGGGGTTTGGTAAGGGAGGAGAGGGGTTTGGTACGGAGGGTAAGGTGCATGCTAAGCGCATATTTGCCTCATCCACCAGATACTGCTCTACCGCTGCTGGCATGTGCAGCAGGGCACGGGATTGATAGAAGGTTGAATTTGAGACGTCTCCAAATAAACCGTCTATCACGGCGCACGCGAGGGCGTCTGGTACGGCGCATGCTAGTCGCATATCCGCCTCATCCACCAGATGCCCTCCTATTCCAGCAGCAGCAGGCACACATCATCCGACACACACATGCATGCCCCTCGGCTCCCCACCCCAGCGCCTCCTCTTCCAGGACCCTCCACAACAAGGATAGCGCACATGCAAATAGCCGTGGAGCATACCTGCTGCCGGGAGTCTATTTTTGAGGCGCCTAAAAAATACAATCTGCACAGGCAAAGTGCCGTGGAGCGTACCTGCTGCCGTGACTTGGTGCGCTGGGCAGCAAAGCGGAGGGCAGTGACCTCCTGCTGCAGCAGGCACACAGCATCTGACACGTGCATGCCTCTCAGCTCCAGCACCCTCGCAGGATCGTTGAACACAGACGAGGAAGGAGGGGCAGGTTGCAGCCTCTCATCAGCCGTCTCAAAGCTCAGCATGCGAGCAGCGCTGCTGCTGCTGCTGCTGCTGCTGTTGCTGTTGCTGCCAGCCCCGCCACTGCTGCCAGCGTTGCTCATGCTCACGCTGATACTCAAGCTGCTGTTGAAATCGGTGCCGTTGCTGTTGCCGTTGCTAAGGCTGAGGCTAAGGCTGCTGTTGCTGCTGTTAAACTCGCTGCTGCTGATGGTGCCGAAGCTGCTGCTGTTGCCAAAGCTGGCAGAATCGGTGGTGCCAGAAGGAAGGGAGGCCGAGGGCATTCCCCTGGAGCAGCCGGAGAGAGCAAGAGAGGTGAGAATTGCGGGAGGAAGGCAGCAAACACTGTGAGTCATCTAAAAAGAAAAAAAACGACAGCGCAACACAAGGAAGGGTTAAGGGGAAGGGGTAAGGGGAAGGGGTAAGGGGAAGGGGTAAGGGAAAGGGGTAAGGGGAAGTGGTAGGGGGAAGGGGAAAGGGGAAGGGGTAAGGGGAAGGGGTAAGGGGAAGGGGTAAGGGGAAGGGGTAAGGGGAAGGGGTAAGGGGAAGGGGTAAGGGGAAGGGGTAAGGGGAAGGGGTAAGGGGAAGGGGTAAGGGGAAGGGGTAAGGGGAAGGGGTAAGGGGAAGGGGTAAGGGGAAGGGGTAAGGAGAAGGGTTAAGGGGAAGGGGTAAGGGGAAGGGGTAAGGAGAAGGGTTAAGGGGAAGGGTTAAGGGGAAGGGGTAAGGGGAAGGGGTAAGGGGAAGGGTTAAGGGGAAGGGGTAAGGGGAAGGGGTAAGGAGAAGGGTTAAGGGGAAGGGTTAAGGGGAAGGGGTAAGGGGAAGGGGTAAGGGGAAGGGGTAAGGGGAAGGGGTAAGGGGAAGGGGTAGGGAAGGGGTAAGGGGAAGGGGTAAGGGGAAGGGGTAAGGGGAAGGGGTAAGGGGAAGGGGTAAGGGGAAGGGGTAAGGGGAGGGGTAAGAGGAAGGGGTAAGGGGAAGGGGTAAGGAGAAGGGTTAAGGGGAAGGGGTAAGGGGAAGGGGTAAGGGGAAGGGGTAAGGAGAAGGGTTAAGGGGAAGGGTTAAGGGGAAGGGTTAAGGGGAAGGGGTAAGGGGAAGGGGTAAGGGGAAGGGGTAAGGGGAAGGGGTAAGGGGAAGGGGTGAGGGGAAGGGGTAAGGGGAAGGGGTAAGGGGAAGGGGTAAGGGGAAGGGGTAAGGGGAAGGGGTAAGGGGAAGGGGTAAGGCGAAGGGTTAAGGGGAAGGGTTAAGGGGCAGGGGTAAGGGGAAGGGGTAAGGGGAAGGGGTAAGGAGAAGGGTTAAGGGGAAGGGTTAAGGGGAAGGGTTAAGGGGAAGGGGTAAGGGGAAGGGGTAAGGGGAAGGGGTAAGGGGAAGGGGTAAGGGGAAGGGTTAAGGGGAAGGGTTAAGGGGAAGGGGTAAGGGGAAGGGGTAAGGGGAAGGGGTAAGGGGAAGGGGTAAGGAGAAGGGTTAAGGGGAAGGGGTAAGGGGAAGGGGTAAGGAGAAGGGTTAAGGGGAAGGGTAAGGGGAAGGGGTAAGGGAAGGGGTAAGGAGAAGGGTTAAGGGGAAGGGTAAGGGGAAGGGTTAAGGGGAAGGGGTAAGGGGAAGGGGTAAGGGAAGGGGTAAGGGGAAGGGGTAAGGGGAAGGGTAAGGGGAAGGGGTAAGGGGAAGGGGTAAGGGGAAGGGGTAAGGGGAAGGGGTAAGGAGAAGGGGTAAGGGGAAGGGGTAAGGAGAAGGGTTAAGGGGAAGGGGTAAGGGAAGGGGTAAGGGGAAGGGGTAAGGAGAAGGGGTAAGGGGAAGGGGTAAGGAGAAGGGTTAAGGGGAAGGGGTAAGGGGAAGGGGTAAGGGGAAGGGGTAAGGAGAAGGGTTAAGGGGAAGGGTTAAGGGGAAGGGTTAAGGGGAAGGGGTAAGGGGAAGGGGTAAGGGGAAGGGGTAAGGGGAAGGGGTAAGGGGAAGGGGAAGGGGAGGGGTAAGGGGAAGGGGTAAGGGGAAGGGGTAAGGGAAGGGTAAGGGAAGGGGTAAGGGAAGGTAAGGGGAAGGGGTAAGGGGAAGGGGTAAGGGGAAGGGGTAAGGGGAAGGGGTAAGGGGAAGGGGTAAGGGGAAGGGGTAAGGGGAAGGGGTAAGGAGAAGGGTAAGGGAAGGGGTAAGGAGAAGGGTTAAGGGGAAGGGGTAAGGGGAAGGGTAAGGGGAAGGGGTAAGGGGAAGGGGTAAGGGGAAGGGGTAAGGGGAAGGGGTAAGGGGTAAGGGGAAGGGGTAGGGAAGGGGTAAGGGGAAGGGGTAAGGGGAAGGGGTAAGGGGAAGGGGTAAGGGGAAGGGTAAGGGGAAGGGGTAAGAGGAAGGGGTAAGGGGAAGGGGTAAGGAGAAGGGTTAAGGGGAAGGGGTAAGGGGAAGGGGTAAGGGGAAGGGGTAAGGAGAAGGGTTAAGGGGAAGGGTTAAGGGGAAGGGTTAAGGGGAAGGGTAAGGGGAAGGGGTAAGGGGAAGGGGTAAGGGGAAGGGTAAGGGGAAGGGGTGAGGGGAAGGGGTAAGGGGAAGGGGTAAGGGAAGGGGTAAGGGGAGGGTAAGGGGAAGGGTAAGGGGAAGGGGTAAGGCGAAGGGTTAAGGGGAAGGTTAAGGGGCAGGGGTAAGGGGAAGGGTAAGGGGAAGGGTAAGGGAAGGGTTAAGGGAAGGGTTTTAAGGGAAGGTAAGGGAAGGGGTAAGGGGAAGGGGTAAGGGGAAGGGGTAAGGGAAGGGTTAAGGGGAAGGGTTAAGGGGAAGGGGTAAGGGGAAGGGGTAGGGGAGGGGTAAGGGGTAAGGAGAAGGGTTAAGGGGAAGGGGTAAGGGAAGGGTAAGAGAAGGGTTAAGGGGAAGGGGTAAGGGGAAGGGGTAAGGGAAGGGGTAAGGGAAGGGTTAAGGGGAAGGGTTAAGGGGAAGGGTAAGGGGAAGGGGTAAGGGAAGGGTAAGGGGAAGGGGTAGGGAAGGGGTAAGGGGAAGGGGTAAGGGGAAGGGGGGGTAAGGGGAAGGGGTAAGGGAAGGGTAAGGGAGAAGGGGTAAGGGGAAGGGGTAAGGGAAGGGTTAAGGGGAAGGGGTAAGGGAAGGGGTAAGGGGAAGGGGTAAGGAGAAGGGGTAAGGGGAAGGGGTAAGGAGAAGGGTTAAGGGGAAGGGGTAAGGGAAGGGGTAAGGGGAAGGGGTAAGGAGAAGGGTTAAGGGGAAGGGTTAAGGGGAAGGGTTAAGGGGAAGGGTAAGGGGAAGGGGTAAGGGGAAGGGGTAAGGGGAAGGGGTAAGGGGAAGGGGTAAGGGGAAGGGGTAAGGGGAAGGGGTAAGGGGAAGGGGGTAAGGGAAGGGGTAAGGGGAAGGGGTAAGGGGAAGGGTAAGGGGAAGGGGTAAGGGGAAGGGGTAAGGGGAAGGGGTAAGGGGAAGGGGTAAGGGGAAGGGGTAAGGGGAAGGGGTAAGGAGAAGGGGTAAGGGGAAGGGGTAAGGAGAAGGGTTAAGGGGAAGGGTAAGGGGAAGGGTAAGGGGAAGGGGGTAAGGAGAAGGGGTAAGGGGAAGGGGTAAGGAGAAGGGTTAAGGGGAAGGGGTAAGGGGAAGGGGTAAGGGGAAGGGGTAAGGAGAAGGGTTAAGGGGAAGGGGTAAGGGGAAGGGGTAAGGGGAAGGGGTAAGGAGAAGGGTTAAGGGGAAGGGTTAAGGGGAAGGGGTAAGGGGAAGGGTAAGGGGAAGGGGTAAGGGGAAGGGGTAAGGGGAAGGGGTAAGGGGAAGGGTAAGGGGAAGGGGTAAGGGGAAGGGGTAAGGGGAAGGGGTAAGGGGAAGGGTAAGGGGAAGGGGTAAGGGGAAGGGGTAAGGGGAAGGGTTAAGGGGAAGGGTAAGGGGAAGGGGTAAGGAGAAGGGTTAAGGGGAAGGGTTAAGGGGAAGGGTTAAGGGGAAGGGGTAAGGGGAAGGGGTAAGGGGAAGGGGTAAGGGGAAGGGGTAAGGGGAAGGGGTAAGGGGAAGGGGTAAGGGGAAGGGGTAAGGGGAAGGGGTAAGGGGAAGGGGTAAGGAGAAGGGTGAAGGGGAGGGGTTAAGGGGAAGGGTTAAGGGAAAGGGGTAAGGGGAAGGGGTAAGGGGAAGGGGTAAGGAGAAGGGTTAAGGGGAAGGGGTAAGGGGAAGGGGTAAGGGGAAGGGGTAAGGGGAAGGGGTAAGGAGAAGGGTTAAGGGGAAGGGGTAAGGGGAAGGGGTAAGGGGAAGGGGTAAGGAGAAGGGTTAAGGGGAAGGGTTAAGGGGAAGGGTTAAGGGGAAGGGGTAAGGGGAAGGGGTAAGGGGAAGGGGTAAGGGGAAGGGGTAAGGGGAAGGGGTAAGGGGAAGGGGTAAGGGGAAGGGGTAAGGGGAAGGGGTAAGGGGAAGGGGTAAGGGAAAGGGGTAAGGGGAAGGGGTAAGGGGAAGGGGTAAGGGGAAGGGGTAAGGGGAAGGGGTAAGGGGAAGGGGTAAGGGGAAGGGGTAAGGGGAAGGGGTAAGGGGAAGGGGTAAGGAGAAGGGTTAAGGGGAAGGGGTAAGGGGAAGGGGTAAGGGGAAGGGGTAAGGAGAAGGGTTAAGGGGAAGGGTTAAGGGGAAGGGGTAAGGGGAAGGGGTAAGGGGAAGGGGTAAGGGGAAGGGGTAAGGGGAACCGAGCCAGCAGGCGTTCCCCCGGAACAGCCAGAGAGTCGATTTTTTAGTCGACTAAAAAATCGACTCATTACACACGGTTCCCCCGGAACAGCCAGAGAGAGCAAGAGAGGTGAGAAAAGCGGGAGGAAGGCAGCAAAAACCGTGAGTCATCTAAACAGAAAAAACGGCAAGCGTTCCCCCGGAACAGCGAGAGAGGAAACGAGGTTTCAGAATTGCAGCCTGAAAACAAAGGGGGAGAACTTTTGAGTCGACTCAAAAGTCACCTCGTTCCCCCCGGAACAGCCAGAGAGGAAACGAGATGTCAGAATTGCAGCCTCAAAACAAAGGGGGAAAACGCGCCACTTGACCCCCGTGAGCCCCATTTGTCCGCGTGCAATCACCTGAAAATCCGCGTCTACGGCCTCTCAAGAACCCCGCCAAGACCTCCCACCACCCCCACCTGAAGCCATAGGCGAGCGCGTCAACATCCAGGCTCCTCCTAGGATTGATTGAGAAGCGGGGGTTCAGGCAAGGCGTCAGGAGTCCACTGGTAAGCAGTCTCTACAACCACCAAGACCTCCCACCACCAAGAACCCCACCTGAAGCCATAGGCGAGCGCGTCAACATCCAGGCTCCTCCTAGGATTGAGAGCCGATGGTGGTGGTGGCATGGAGTCAGGCGCCCACTGCAGAGGGAGGAGCATAACAAGACGATGGGAGGGAGAGGGAGCACGGACGTTTCTTGACTCGACTAAAAGAACACTTGGATGGTGGCGGCATGGCGTCAGGAGCCCACTGCAGAGGAATGGGCATAACGAGACGATGGGTGGGAGAGGGAGTATGGGGCAAGAGGGGATGGGTATGGGGCACCAGAAACCCACTGGGAGAGCATGCTTTTGAGTCGGCTCAAAAGGAAACCCACTGGCGGAGCATGCCACATAACATGGTGTGGTAGAAGGGTAGTTTGAGACGTCTCAAAACTACACCGAGGAGTCTATTTTTGAGGCGCCTCAAAAATAGACGTCTCAAAACTACACTTCTATCACACGGTGTGTGGGAGCCAAGAAACGTGACGGGGAGGGGGAGGGGGAGGGAGAGGGGGGGGGGGGGGGGGAGGGGAGGTGGGGATGGGTAATGGATGGGTGGGTTATGGCACATGGACAGTAAAACACGCTTAAACTGATGATGGGTGGAGAACAACGGAGGGACATAATCGACAGAAGATCAAAGCAAGGCAGTGCTGCAGTGTATGCACAGTCACCTTTTCACGTGTGATAGATGCACAATAGATGCACACGGTATGCAGTCACCTTTTCACATGGCTGGGAGGCGTTGCGCCCAGGGAGAGGGTGGGCGAGTGGGTGAGCGAGTGGGTGAGCGAGAGGGTGAGCGAGAGGGTGAGCAAGAGGTAAGTTGGTTTTTTAAGAATTCTCAAAGAGCAAGAGGGTGAGCAGAGGGTGAACGAGAGGACGTGGCATGAGGCAAGGGAGAGGGCTGAAAGGAGGTTTTGAGACGTCTCAAAACCAGCCTTATAGAACGAGAGGACGTGGCATGCGGCAAGAGACAGGTCACAGGACTGAAAGGAGGTTTTGAGACGTCTCAAAACCAGCCCTATAGAACGAGAGGACGTGGCATGCGGCACGGGACAGGTCACAGGACTGAAAGGAGGTTTTGAGACGTCTCAAAACCAGCCTTATAGAACGAGAGGACGTGGCATGCGGCAAGGGACAGGTCACGGGACTGAAAGGAGGTTTTGAGACGTCTCAAAACCAGCCTTACAGAACGAGAGGACGTGGCATGCGGCAAGGGAGAGGGCTGAAAGGAGGTTTTGAGACGTCTCAAAACCAGCCTTATAGAACGAGAGGACGTGGCATGCGGCAAGGGACAGGTCACAGGACTGAAAGGAGGTTTTGAGACGTCTCAAAACCAGCCCTATGGAACGAGAGGACGTGGCATGAGGCAAGGGAGAGGACTGAAAGGAGGTTTTGAGACGTCTCAAAACCAGCCTTATGGAACGAGAGGACGTGGCATGAGGCAAGGGAGAGGACTGGAAGGAGGTTTTGAGACGTCTCAAAACCAGCCTTATGGAACGAGAGGACGTGGCATGAGGCAAGGGACAGGTCACAGGGCTGAAAGCACACCTTGTCGCATGGCTGGGAGGCAGGGAGGGTATGGGCGAGAGGGTGGGCGGAGTCCTTTAAATCCGGCATGTCAAGACCTGCCATAGATCATACACCATCCCATCACGTACACCATGCCATCACATACACCATGCAATCACAAACACCATACAATCACATACACCATGCAATCACATACACCATACACCATCGCATACACCATCCCACCACATGCACCATCCCCCACCATGCCATGCACGACGGCATGCCATATCCCATGCAATCAAGCAACAAGATGCAATTTAATGCCACAACATTGCAAGCGATGGCACCACAAGGCAGCACAGGCACAGGCTAAGACGTCCCTGGCTCACCTGCTCTCTCAAACTGAGAGATCTCTCCCTCCTCTCCCTCCCCCCCCCCCCCCCAATATTTCGAGTGGACTCACAACACACCCGCACGCAATCTTATGCCATACCTTTGCAAGCGACGGCTGGCACCACAAGGCAGCACAGAGGCGAGTCGCTTTGAGACGTCTCAGAACTAAATTAATTATCGCACAAACGAGCCCCCTAGTTAAGGCATCCCTAGCTTACCTGCTCTCTCGAACTGGAACATCTCCTCCCCACGAAACGACTGTGTCAGCTGCTGTTGCTGCCGCCGCTGCTGCTGCTGCTGCTGCTGCTGCTGCTTTTCCTCAGATTCCCCTCGCTTGCCCTCGAAACCTCCCTGCTTGAACGGACTCATTTCCCACAAGGAACCCGCACCCTCAGCACCAGCCCCAGCACCAGCAGCGCGAGCACCGGCGCCAGTAGGAGCGCCATACATGGTAGCATATGCGTCGTTCTCTCCTGGAAACCCCTGCTTCTCCCCGGCCTGCTCCCCCTGCTGCTGCCGACCCCACCACTGCATCTCATCAAAGCCCGGGGCTCCAGGCCCGGCCGAGCCAAACGGCTTCAGGTTCGGCATGGAGCGGGAGAGCAGGCTCGGATCCAGACCACCGTCCGGACCTCCATCACCAGGAGCAGAATCCGCCCCACCGGGACCCCCGTGGGAGTTCCCTAATTGAGTACCAAAACGATTAAGTTGGGAGGTGGAGGAGGAATGGGCAGTGGAGCTCCCCCTACCACCACCAGCAGCGGCAGCAGCAGCAGAAGAGTGGTGATGTGGAGGAGGGGGCGAGGCGAAGTTGGAGAGGGAGCCGAGGGGGGGGGAGCGCTGGGAGGAGCGAGCCGGGCCGGACTGCAGAGAGGGGTCTCCGTCTTCCTGGTATTGCTGCGTCATGGGGGCAAGCGCGGAGGAAACAGGCGACACAGGGTGGACGAGAGCGTTACGAGTGCAGAGAGGGGTCATAGGGATGCCTTCCTGTCCTGGCACTGCAGCAACATGGGGGCAGCGGGGCAGAAGAGGCAACGGAATACTTGCTGACTCTAGAGTCGACTCAAAGGCCGGGCCGGACTGCAGAGAGGGGTCTCCGTCTTCCTGGTATTGCTGCGTCATGGGGGCAGCGGGGCAGAAGAGGCAGCGGAATACATTCGTGAGGAGTCTATTTTTGAGGCGCCTCAAAATAGACTCTTCTGCGTCATGGAGGCAGGCAGGGGAGCAAAAAGACCACAGATGCCCTCTTTCCTTTCTCCCCTTCCTCCCCCCTGCTTTCCCCCCATTACCCCCTTTCTTTCCCTGTATCCTCTCCCTCACCTGGAGCTATTTTTGAGGCGCCTCAAAAATACCTTCCTCCCCCCTGCTTTCCCCCCACTACCCCCTTTCCCTGTAACCTCTCCCTCACCTGGAGCTGCCACAGCGCCTCGAGGGTCGCGCCTAGATCCGCCCCATGCGCGAAGAGCGGGTCCGCCAGGCTCTGCGTTGAACATGTCCGAAGATTCCCTGTCCTTACCCCAGCCCCCCCCTCCCCCCCCCCCTCTCACCCGCCCACCTTCCCCCCATTCCCCCTTTACCTGGAGCTGCCACAGCGCCTCGAGGGTCGCGCCTAGATCCGCCCCATGCGCAAAGAATGCGTCCGCCAGGCTCTGCATCGAAAAGTCCGGGAATTCCGCCGCCAGCACCTGGATCGGATCCTCCAGCGCGTGGTGCGGGGGCGGGGGACCCCCGCGCGGATGCCCACCAGGCGAAGGCGCGTGCCCGTGCGGAGGGGGCGGGGGATGCGGGCGGGTATGGTGCAGGGGGAGATGGTGGGGGGGCGGCGGGGGAGGCATTCCTGGGGGCGGCGGCATCCCCTCGTCCAGGTAAAATCCTCCCAGCTCGTGCGGGGGAAGGCCATGGGGAGGCGGGGGCGGGGGGTCATGAAGGGGATAACCCCCATTGTACTCTGCGCCTGGTCCCCCCCCGCCGGGAAGCCCCTCGTCTAGCTCGTCTAGCGGACCAGGATTCCACCCAGCGGAAGGTCCACGGAACCTTCTATCCATTATCCGCGCAGGCCCTGGGGGCAGTTCAAACGGCGGCGGAAAATGCACCCCTGTGTCGCCCCCTCCTGGGGGCATCCCTCCGCCGCCGCCCTCCCCATTTCCTCCCCCTCCGCCTCCCCCACCTGGTCCTCCTCCGCCTCCTCCCCTTCCCCCCGGCCCCGCTCTCCTCCCCAGCTGGTGCGGGTCCCGCAGAGGGTGCATGGGGCTGCGCTGGTCCAGGCTGCTCCGCCGGTTCTGCTGCGGATGGCGCAAGTGGCCTCCCCCCCTGCCCATGCCCATGGGGCTACGGTGGTCTAGACTCCCTATACCCTGATTAAGAGGCGATGCCGGCTCCTCTCCCCCTCCCCGCCTCGGTCCAGGCCTGGAGTACCGCGGGTGCGGGGACCTAGAGGGGGAGAAGCTGTTAGAGAGGCCTGGGGGGCCCATATTCCCCCCTCCGCCTCCGCCTCCGCCCCCCCCGCCTCTGGCGGGGTTCATGTGGGGGGGCGGCGGAGAGCCCAAGCGCGGGCCTACTTCCGGGCTGAACGGCGGACCAGGCGCAAACCTTCCGCCAGGCCCGCCAGGTCCGCCCATTCCCCCGGGGCCTAATGGTCCGCCTCCGCGCCCGCCTCTTCCCGCGGGCCCTTGAAAAAGCGCGTTGGGGGGAGAAGGTCCGCCAGGCCCGGGCATCGGGCTTCCAGGGGGGGCCATGGGTGGCCCGTCTCCCCTGCCGTCCATCCTGCCATCCATCCTGCCATCCATCCTGCCATCCATCCTGCCATCCATCCTGCCATCCATCCTGCCGTCCATCCTGCCATCCATCCGACCGTCCATTCTCCCAGGTCCATCTAACGGCGGTCCAAAATGCCCCCGTCTTGGCGATTCCGTAATTCCTGGCGGGTGTCCGCGACCCCGTTCCCCTACTCCGCCTCTTCCGCCCAGCAGCTGTGACGGCGGAAGCATGTGATGCGGGGGAGGGGGGGGGCCGTGGCGGGGGGTGGAAAAATGAAGCGGACTGCCGCGGAGAGCGGGGCTGAAGCGGTGCGCACCAGAGGGGGCGGGGGAAGCGGGGAGGGAGTTGGGCGGACGCGGATGGTTGCCCCCCCCTAAGTGCTCGAAATGCGGGGGAGGGTAGTTATCGAAGGGGTAACCTGCGCCGGGCGGAAGTCCCCCCCCGCCAGGCCCATGGCCGTCTAGATGCTCCGCAAGCTGCTGCGCGTTGGGCGAATGCAGTCCTCCGCCTGCTCCGCCGCCTCCGCCCCCACCCAGTTCCAGCCGCGCAAGAAGAGCGGCCGCAGCGGCGCTGGGCAGCGGGGGGTTCCGCGGAAACGACGCGGGGGAGCCGCCCCCAAATTCTTGCTCGAAATTAGAGCCAGGGAAGGCGGAAGGCCCGCCTAGAGAATGCCGCGCGTGCGCCATGGGACTGGCGGAAGCGCTTCCGGGGCCTTGGCGCAGGTGCGGGGGGAGATGGTGCTGATGCGGGGAGGCAAGGTGCAAGGGATGGTCGGGGGGAAGCTCCCCCAAGTAGCTCCGCGCGTCCGGATTCCATCCCCGCCCCTCCCCGCTTCCCCGCATGCCCACTTTACTATGGATCACAAACTCCCCGCCAGCGCCGCCGTCGGCGGCGGGACGAGGTCCGGCGCGGCCTCCGCCAGGTTCGGAGTCTGCCAAGCCTAGCCCGTCCAGGTCCGGCGGGAGGAGGCTGCCGTTAAGGCTCGGCGCGTCCTGGTCGTCGAAGCTGATCAACTCGTCCGGGAGCTGGTCCCGAACGTAACGACGATACTCGTCGTCAGATGATACCGAGGTGTTGGAGGGGATCCTATCTAGCGAGGAGCCGCCGTACTCAACGTCTTCTGCTGACATTCCATCACCCGCGGAACCATCCCCCTGCTCCTTCCCATCCGCATACATCCTTCCCCCTGTGGGGACACCATCCGCTCCCCCGTCTCCGCCTCTGCCTTCCCCGTTTCCGCCGCTCCCCCCGTCAGAACCCGCTGCGCCGTTTCCGCCGTTTCCGTCGCTTCCGCCGTTGCCGCCGTTGCCGCCAGCGCCGGAGAAACACGGAACGAACGCGGCGGCATTGGGGTTGAGGCAGATGCGCGAGGGGTCGGGGGGCGTGGGGGAGGGGGAGCGGCCGCGGAACGAGGCGAGCTGCGCGCAGTTGCCCGGCGTTGCGGTGAAAGAGTCGCGGGAGGTGGTGAGGGGGGAGGAGCCGGAGGAAGAGAGGGAAGAGGAGAGGACTTGCGGGGAGGAGGAAGAGGGGGTTGGTGAGAAGGGAGGGACATGGGGCTTGAGGGCGGGGAGAGTCGTGGGAGACGAGAGAGACGGTGAGCTCGGCGCGCTCTGCTGGAGCTTCGAAAGAATGCACGGCTTTAAAGAGCCGCCTTGCGATTGGTCATCTGATGGCACGACACGGGGAAGAAGGCAGGGCATGGGAGAAGAGAGGGGCGGTGAGCTCGGCGCGCTTTGTTGGAGCTTCGAGAGAAAGCACGGCCCTAAAGAGCCGCCTTGCGATTGGTCATCTGAAAAAGAGACACGGAGCAGACACGGAGCGGGAAGCAGGGATGGATAAAAATGCGGTATTTATAATGATGAGCTGGATCACTGTAATAGGAGGTATAACAAATAGCTTTGAAGGTACGAGATTGGGTAACGACGCTGGTTGGTTGGCACACACAGGCTAGACATGAATGGCAGTGCTGGTGTGTTCCAACCAGTAACGGAGGAGCAATGCACCCGGGGCGGCATCGCATGAGGCGACGGGCGAGAGTGCGAGAGAAATCGGGATAAATCAAAGCAGGCGAGCGCGTCCGGGGAAGGAATGCGAGCTTGACGAGGCCACGCTAGGCGCAAAAAGATGAGGCCTTTCAACATCGGGGAGCTCGAAAAGACTCACAGCCATGGCCAGCTTTTGAGTCGACTCAAAAGCACGAAAAGACTCCCAGCCATGGCCAGGAAATTCGTGAATTACGAGGGGAAATTAAGTACTTGAATCACTGGCATCGGCAAAGACTCACCGTGAGCGGCTGCGTGCGCTGCTCCTGCTCCCCCCGGCGCACCCGGCGCGGAGGCAGCGGCAGCAGCAGCAGCAGCAGGCCGATCATTTACAGCGGTTTCCGCCATTTCGACGGGTGCTGCGCTCCCGCAGGCGCGCTAAGGCGGAACGGAGACGGCGAGACGGAGCGCCGCGATTGGCGGCGGAGCGGCACTGGCCGGCCGCTACTGATAAGGGGGGTCGAGCTGCTGCTGGCAGAGAAGCCCCCCGTCGTCATTCCACGCCGACGCCGCTCACCGGTTACGATGAGCCGCGCCGTAGCACACGGCTAGGAATGGTTCTTACCACACGGCTACTGGTGGTTCTTAGCTCACGGATATCAATGGTTCGTGGCGAACTTCGTTAACTGAGAAAACTAAGGTTTGGTTTTTACAATGGGATGAGAAGGAGGATCAGGCGATTTATCCAGCGGCAATGGTCGCCATGCTATCCTTCAGCCACAGATGGATCAGAGTGGTGGTGCGACGGAGAGCTTCCCAGACAGACTCTTTGGGGAAAGGGGATGCTGATACTGTGTAAGACCTTGCTGCTCTACCTGCTTCAGGCCAGAAACTCCTGCTGATTAGCTTGCTGCTCCCCAGGCGTGACTGCAGCTGAAAGTATGGACGGTGGTCTTCTGAGGTCGCCTTCAGAAGTTTGGTCGACAACCGAAGTTTGGACAAGAGAGGAACTTTCCTTTTTCTCGGGATGACAGCCTAAATAAAGAGTATACTCGTGTTATTAAAGGTAGAAAATGGTACAGTCTCCAAACCAAAGCAATTTAGAGACACTCGACTACTCAGCCAATTTCTCCCTGAAACACACTGTTACAATGCACGTTTAGGTGGAGACCCTAGTCTCGGCAAATTGTAAACTGGGAAAACAAACCTGGGGTCTGTTGTTTTCAGGGTAGATAGGTGCAAAGATTGAGAAACCAGCTTTCTTGTCCAAACTTCGGTTGTCGTCCAAACTTCTGAAGGCGATCTGAGGAGGATCAAGGTGGCTGAATGCGCGAGAAGGGGAGTTCTGTTGGCAGTGACATGAAACAGTACGAATGGCATGCTGAAGGGATTTGGTTCGGGGCAAAGCGTTGCAGAACGGTTTGGTATGTTGCAAGAGGTGGAAGGTTTGTCTGGCTCTTACGGCTTGCCCCTGGGTTTTTTTAATGCCCTGGTGGGATGCAGCTGGTCAACCTTGAACTTGCCGCCGAGCCGAACGAAGCCTGGAAGTTGGAGTGGATCATGGATGGGATGGGAAGGATATGATGGATGACAGTCGTCCTCATCATTCTGCGACGCAAGCGATGCTGATTATGACGACTCTACGACGCTCCCAATTGAGCAAACGACGGAGTTGAGCGTGTGCGACGCAATTGCGGCGACACACGCACCCTCACCTGCGTTCTCCTAAGGCCCCTTCCCTTGTGGCCAAGGGTGGCAGGCTCAGCGGGAACTTACGTTCGGGCGGACTGCAAGGCGGCCAACAGGCATGGCAGCTCAAAATGGTTCCAAGACACGAGGTTTGATTTGGCACAAGCAAGAGGCTCGGCAGCAGTTATGGGTTCCGCCACAGACCAGCTTCCTTGCTTAGAAACCGTCCAATTGGTGGTTTTGCTCGCTTCAGACCAAGACCTTTGGTATGGTGAACCAGCAGTCAGGTGCTGAAGGACAAGTCCAAGGCTTGGGTGGCGGGAAAATTTTTACGCGCCTGGCAGGCGGTTAGGTGGATCTATCCGTCCGTCCCATGAATCAAAGCAGCATCCGGCCGTCCGTCCAGACGAACCCACGCACAATCACTTCCGGTAGTGAGGGAACGGGTGCCAAGCTCTAGGGTGCTGCAATTGGAAACATGTAATACACCTAGCCCGCGGTATTTTTACACCCAGTATTTTCAGAGGGGGTGCCGCTGAGAGGGTATTCACCCCCCGAAAGCAGCTCCTGAAGACCAAAACCGGATACCCTTGAAAAACAAATTGAACTTGGGTTTCTATACGAAACGTATATATCTCGATTTAATGTTTCTCGAGTCAGGAAACCCGACGTCAGCTTAGGCAATGCTCAAATTTTTTGCCCACATCGAGTCTGCCAAGCTTATGCCTTAGGAACAAGGGGCTCCACTATGCGCACTCAGAAATGGTCAGGGTGGAAACAAAAAATCTTCTACCGTCCAGTTTCAGGGTGCGTAATTACCACGGGCTGGGTGTACTATGAAAGCGCGAAGGGATTGTCTGTCTTAAGCGCGCCGAGCCCGGAAGAAAAAGACGGGAAATAGGCGAACTTCGGCATCTAGCTAGGCGACAACATTTGGGAAATTCAAACACGCGAAGAAATTCAGAGGCGATGGACGAAACAGATACCAGGGATACAAACATTGCGCGAGATCAGCCCTTTGTTACGTGTGCCAGAAAATAGAAATAACAGGGAGTTGGAAAAACATGAGCACTCAACAAAGCACGAACTCCACTGAACTGGAATGAAACAACGTGATACTAAAGTGGAATGAATTTTTATTTTATTTTATGGGCATGAGGGTACCGCATGCGATGCAGCACTAGTAAATTAGTAAAATTAATGGTTTCAGAAATTGGCATAACCATTACCGTACGTCAAGCTAAGATTAGGGGTAAAAAAAAAGCATCCACCAGCAAAAAAATCCGGTAATGGTATCAGTACACCCATCACGAAACGATACTACAAGAAGAATATCAACTTTCCATGTTGCCGTAGGAAGGGTGGTCTATTCATTATCTGCTCCTCCAACTGACTTCTCCATCCTCCACACACACTGAAAGGTTCGAGCGACAACATCCTCCCCACGGCTTTCACTGTCGCCACTCCTTGCCTCATCCTTCTTAACATTCAGATTAGTAAAACCAGCTCAAATCCGAGGCATGGATTCACGCGTTCGGCCAACATATGTTTCAACGGGCATACAGAGCAAATGCATCAACACCAGGAGCTGTTAGAGAATCAGCTACTAACTCACCCTCACTTGCAGGCCCGAAGCCGCCTCTCGTCCGTCCATCACTCTGACCACCCCCACTCTCTCCACCACCCCCACCACCACCATCACCCCATCCTCATCCTTCCCCTTACCCTTCCCCCTCTTCCTCAGTGATCGGTGCATTCCCTGCTTCCTTAGACTTTCTAGGCGATTCCTTCTCCTTCCTCCTCCTCCTCTCCTCCCTCCTCGCTTCCCTCTCCTCCTTGCTCCTCCTCCCCCCACCTGCGCTCGACACATCGGACACAGAGTCGTAGTCAGCACCAGATGAACCTTCCCCAGATGCGCCTTCCAGTGGAGTCATCATCATCTCATCCATGCTCCCGACACTTGATCCTTTCTTCAGCCGCGTCTTTTCCTTTCCATCCTTCTCCTTCCCTCCTTTCTTCTGCCCCCCCTTCACCTTCTCGTCCTTCCCCTTCCCTTCTTTCTCCTCCACCCCCTCCCCCTCATCCTCACCCGCTCTGCTCCTCTCCTTCTTCTCCTTTCTCTTCCCCTCCTCCATACCACCCACCCCCACACCTGCTGCTGCCTCTGCTTCTGCTCCTTCTCCCTCCGCTACACTAGCAGCAGAGGCAGCAGCAGCTGCTGCTGCCTCCTGCTCTGCCTTCTTCTTCTTCCTCGCTGCTCTGCGCACTTCCTTCGCTGCAGCCTCACTGGCTGCTGCTGCTGCATCATCCACGTCACCATTCCCACTCCGTGACACACCAACGCTGCTGCAGGTGCTGCTCGCAGGACTCCCCCCACCAACACTTTCGCCCTCCTCACTCCTACCCCCGCTGCCACTCACACCAATGCTGGCAGTCCTGTGGTGCTTCGACCCTGCTCTCTTCTTCTCCTTCTCCCCGCGCTTCTTCTTCTCCTTCTCCTCCTGCCTCTCTGCTGAGGAAAGGGTTTTTGCTCTCAGGAGACTGGACTCCTCAATGCCCTTGTCGTGGCTCTCCTGTGCGTTTGGTCCATCTGCCATCCCTTTCAGTTTGTAAGGAATCTCGTTGCCCTTCTTCTCCCTGTGCTTCTTCTTCTTCTTCTCCTTCTCCTCTCGCCCCTCCACAGAGGGTAGCGTCTTGGCTCGCAGGAGGCTTGTCTCCTCAGTGTCCAGTCTAGTGGCTGTTGGTTCTCCGCCCTCCTCCGCAGTACCTCCCACCGTACCTCCCTCCGTACCTCTCTCCATACCTCCCCCCATACCTCCCTCCGTAACTCCCTCCTCATTCTCCTGCTGACTGTCCTCGTTGGTAACCCCCTCACCATCCTCGTTAATAGCCCCCACACCATCCTCGTTAGAAGCCCCCTCACCATCCTCGTTAGTAGGCTCCTCATCACCCTCCTTAGTAGCCTCTTCACTGTCCCTATTACTCACCTTACCACCCTTCTCCTTATCCCCTACACCCTCAACCTTTTCAGGAGTAACCACACCATTCCCAGCAGACGCACCTGAAAATTCTCCTGAGAACCCACCCGAAGAATCACCTGGAGCATCACCTGCAGAGTTACCCGAGCCGTTCTCATTCTCACTCCCTCCACCTGCCACACCACCTGACTCCTTTTCCTTCCATCCCCCTCCTTCCCCCTCCCCCACCACACTCTCTCCTTCCTCCTTAACATCCAAAGACGAAGCAGAGGGAACGCCAGCAGAGGCAACACCGGACGTGGCAGGGGCAACAACAACAGGGGTAGGGGCAATACCAGCAGCAGCAAGTGCCTTGGCCACAAGCCCTCTCCTCTCTCCCCCTGGCGCAGCCTCACTATCCTGTCGGAATAGAAACGCCGAATGCTCCATCTCCGGGGGCTTGAACCCGCGACCTGATTTCTTTCCTACCCCTACTCCCCCTCTCCCCGCTCCACCCGCTCCTGTACCAGTCCCTGCTGCTCCTGCTGCTCCTGCCGCTCCTGCTGTCGCTCCTCCTAACGCTGCTGCTGCAGCTGCTGTTACAACCCCAGAAGACCCAAAAGAAATGGAGGTGCGAGTGGTTAAGGGGGCGGGAGGAGCGTCGGAAGGGGAGAAGGAAGGAGAGGAGGAAAACTTAGAGGAATTGGGCAAATTATGGAGATTCATCCCCCCACTTTTCACCCCCGCTGCTCCCAACGCGGCAGCTACCACCCTGCTCCGGCCGGGCGAGCGGCTCTGGGCCAGCCCGGACCTGGGCGTGAAGCTCGGCGAGCCCGAGCCTTCGCCAAACCTGCCAGCCTGGGCACCGCCACTGGCGGGAGCCGAACCAACACTGGAGGCTCGGTTAGTGAAGCTGAGGACTCCTGCTACTGATAGGCGCTCACGGATGGGGGAGCGCCGTGGGGGGGAGAGAGCTGGCGAGTAAACCTTTGGTGAATCAGCCATTGGTGGTGAGAGGGCGTGTGAAATGTCGTCTCGACTGAACGTGCGGCGTGTGTTGGCTACTTTCGGGGATGGCTGGGGCGATGGGAGGGCGAAGGCAGGGGGGACATCTGAGTGCTGCTGCTGCTGCTGCTGCTGCTGGTGGTAGTGGTCACTTTCGGCGGAGGTAGTAGAGGAGAGCACAGCGGAGAGAGGGGCAGGGAAGAAGCCTCCGAATTCCCGGGAGGACGAGCCAAAGGAGTGTCGAGCAGAGGAGTCTCGAAGGGAGCCCCCAGAGAGCGAAACCGACACAAAAGAGCCGCTAGAAAAACTGTCAGACAAGCTATTAGAAAAGCTATTAGACACCAACCGAGGGTCATCGGGTGCGTTGGTAATCGACCCAGGAGCATATTTGCGGGACCCTGTGGGACCTCGGCTCGGGGGAGCAGCCAGGTCACCGGCCACGGACAGCCTTTGAGTCGACTCAAAAGCAGCCAGGTCACCGGCCACGGACAGCCCAGCAGCAGCAGCAAGATCACCGGTGGAAGTCCCGGAGTTGGAGGTTTGAGTGAGCGAGTTGAAACTGAGGTCCATGCTGCGGTTACGCTGGCGGTGCGGTAACCGCTTCAGCAGCTGCTTGAGCCCGAATGAAGGTTTGGGACCGGGGGACTTGCTTCCCAGCCCAGCCTTGGGACTGGCTTCCCTGGGACTGGCTTCCCTCGGCGTGGAATCAGTCTCATTGCTCGCACTTCCCATGCCATGCGCACCAGCAGCAGCAGCAGCAGCAGCGGCGGCCGCCGCCGCCGCGGCGGCAGCAGCAGATCCAGAGTCACCAATGTCCCTCTTGCTCCCCTGCATAGTCTCTAACGTCGCTTCCTCCCCTCCCCCTCCTGCCCCCCCTCCTGCCCCCCCTCCTGCCCCCCCTCCTGAACCTCCTGCGGCTCGGCCTAATTGTCGCAGGAACCTGTTGCCCTGCTCCGACAGCCTGTCAACCACTGACGCAAACCTCTGCTCCTTCCCCCCCTGCTCCTCCTCCTCTTCCTCCTCACCACTGCTCTTGTCGCCCTCGGGCTGCTCCTGCTGCCCCTCTCCCCCCTCTCCCCCCTCTCCCCCTCTCCCCCCTCTCCCCCCTCTCCCCCCTCTCCCCCCTCTCCCCCCTCTCCCCCCTCTCCCCCTCTCCCCCCTCTCCTCCCTCCGTCCCTCGCTCTGCCTGCCGTTTTTCAGGCTTGCTTGACTCCCCTCGGCCCTCACCCGCCCCTCCTGGCCTCCCCCCCCCACAACCGCAACCGAAGCTGCAATCCCTGCAGCCGCTGCCGATGCTGCTGCTGCTGCAGACACTACTGCTGCAAACCCCCCCAATGCGGCTCCTCCTGGCCCTTTTCCTGCCGCTGCCCCGCCTTTGCCCCCTCCTACCCACGTCTTATCCCCCAGAGCCGCTCTCATGAATCTCTCTCTCTGCTTCCGCGCCCTCTCTATTCGCTCTCTCTCATACTCGGATAAGACTTCCTTCACCTCCACACCTCCCCCCTCTCCTCCCCCCTCTCCTGCTGCCTCTCCTGCTGCTGCTGCTGCCCCTCCTGCTGCCTCTGCTACCACCACCGCTGCCACCTCTCCTTTATCACCTTCTCTTACTCCCTCCCCTGCCCCTAATGCTGCTGCTACTGGTGCTGCTGCTGCTCCTCCCCCTTCACCTCCTGCTTCTCCTCCTGCTGCTTCTCCTCCTGCTGCTTCTCCTGCTGCTGCTGCTGCTGCTGCTGCTGCTGCTGCAGATGATGATGTCAAACCATCAGGCGAAGTCATCGAATCTAGGGTCCCCACCCCCCCCTCCACCTTTTCCGCCTCCCCCTTTCCATCTCCTCCCGCACCCTCTCCCACACCCTCTCCCATACCCTCTCCCACACCCTCTCCCACACCCTCTCCCACACCCTCTCCCACGGTCCCCCCCCCACCCCCTCCCCCTCCTGCCCTTTCCTCCCATCCCTCCCTTCCGTCTGCTGAACCTTCTGCAGAAACTTCTCCCTCTGCCTCCTCGCCCTATCTTTAATAGAATCCGTTGCAGTGGTGGTGGTGGTGCTGCTGCTGGTACTGCTGCTACTGCTGCCCCAACCAAACCAACTGCCCACTGCTGCTGCAGCATCTGTTGACGCCAGCTGCTGCTGCTGTTTCTCTTGCTGCTGCTGCTGCTGCTGCTGCTGCTGCTCTTGATCCCACCAATTCCAGCTGAACCAGCTGCCACCAGCATCCGCACCAGCAGCATTGCCACCACCGCCAGTAGAAGCAGTAGCAGCAGCAGCACTGCTACCACCACCAGTAGAAGCAGAAGCAGCAGCAGCAGCAGCAGCTCTGCCACCAGCACCATCAGCAGCACTCCCTTCAGCTGTCCCTTCGCCCCCCCAACTCACCGCCCCAGCGGAACCTTCCCCAGCTACACCTGCACCCGGACCAACCTCGCCTCTCCCGCCTCCCTCCTCCCACGCGTCTTCAAACTCCACCCCCTTTACCACTTTACTTGCTGCTGCTGCTCCTACTCTCCCTCTCCCCTCCCCTCCCTCCCCTCCCTCCCCTCCCTCCTCTCCCTCCCCTCCCTCCCCTCCCTCCCCCTCCTCCCCCACATCTTCAAACTCCACCACCTTTACCACTTTAGGCAACTCCTTTGATGGCTCTCTCAATCCCAACCCGTCCCCTCGTTCCGCCCCTGAGCCCCCCCCTCCCTCCCCTTGCTGCACCGAGTCATCATCAAAAACCACAACTTTCACCACTTTAGGCAGATCCCGAGGCACGGCTGTTGATTCTACACCATCTCCACTTCCTCCCACTCCCAGTCCCGCTCCTTCACCCCCCATGACGTCATCATCGAAGACCACCACTTTCACTACTTTGGCCGACCCATCCTTCTCAAGCCCGCGCTCCGATGCCTCTTTTGGAGTCACAACGCGCTTCAGTGCCGATTTCCTAGGCTTTTCTGCGGTGATTTTTCCGTCTACAGCTGCTCCTGCTGCTCCTGCTGCTGCTGCTGCTGCCGCACTGGATACCCTGGCTGCTGTTCCTGTTAGCTGCTGGTCTGATCTCTCCGCTGCCCTGTCCTTATCCCTCCCCCTCTCCCTCCCCCTCTCTCTCTCCCGTTCCTCCCTGTATTTCGCGTCTCTCTCGTGCCTCCACTCTGCACTGAAAATTATCTGTGGTGGGTGGTACTCCTGCCACTGCTGCCCCTGCTGCTGCTGCCCCTCTTGTTCCGAATGCTGCCCCTGATGCCCCTGCTGCTGCTGCTGCTGCTCCAGAAGCACCTCTCCCATGTGCTTTTTCCTCGGCCGCTGCGGCCTTGGCGCCTCTACCACGTGCTCCTGCTGCTGCTCCTCCTGCTGCTGCTGCTGCTGCTCCTCCTCCTGCTGCTGCTGCTGCTGCTGCTGCTGCTGCTGCTGCTGCTGCTGCTGCTGCTGCTGCTGCTGCTCCTCCTCCTCCTTCTGCTGCTGCTGCTGCTGCTCCTGGTGTTGCTCCGGATGCCCGTCTTGCTCTTGCTCTGCTAGGACAACGTCTGCCTCTTGCTTGTATGCCGTCACACCCTCCACGCTCTCCCCTCCTTCCCTCTTACCCGCAGCAGCACCCACAGCAGCAGCATCAGAAGCAACACCACCAAAAGCAGCAGAAGCAGCAGCGGCGGCGGCAGCCACAGCAGGAGAAACTGCTCTGCGGCTCCTTCCAGGCTCGGCAGCAGCTTCGGCAGTTCCCTCAGCACTCGGCAGCCCTTGGTTGGGAGTTATCACCTCCCCTGTCTCAGGACTTTGGTTCTCTTCTCTCTTGTGAGCGCGAGTGAAGCACTTGGGCAGTGGGCGCTCGGCCAGGGGACTAGTCATGGGATTGGCAGCACGAGGGCTCTTAGAAGAAAATGGGCTTCTGGCGAAGATGCTTCTAGAGGTGGGGCTTTTAGATGGGCTGTTAGCGGGACTGCCAGAGGGGCTTATATGGGGCCCTATATGGGGGCCTATATGGGGGCTTATATGGGGGATTTCACGGCGGCTTCGTTCGCTCCAGCTGCTGTGCTGCTGCTGCTGGTCCCCCATGCTCCTGAACTCGTTCTGGCTCTTATCCCCTCCTTTTGGGCTCTTTAACTTGCTCCATGCGCTAGCTAAGAGGTTCTTAGGGCTCTTTCTGCCGTGGCCAGGGCTCCCCTCCCCGTGCCTGGAGCTTCCCCCCCCGTGGCTAGAGCTCCGTCCCCCGAACCTAGGGCTGATAAGCCCACCAATTACCTCCCCACTCCCCCAACCAGGGCTCATATCTCCCCTCCCTCCCCCATCCCCGAACCCCTTAGGACTGATCAATCCTCCACCCACCCTTCCTTCCCCCCTTGCCCTCCCCACTCGGGGGCTCAGAGGCGAGAGAAGCCTCGCTTTGACAGCCCGAACCTTGGCAGGAGGCTCGTCTGTGGACCGGCTGACAGGGATGTAGGCTCGGGGCGTAGGCTCGGCGCCTGAGCCTGGAGGACGGGGTAGAGCTGCGGCTTGGGCATGAGAGTTAGCTGTGAGGGAACCTGGAGGTGGTGGCAGAGGGGTGGAGAGGGATGATGGGGTTGGTAGAGGGGCGGAGAGGGATCCTGGAGGTGGGGGTAGAGGGGTGGACAGTGAGGGTGGTAGAGGCAACGGGGGTGATAATGATGGTGCTGCTGCTGCTGCTGCTGCTGCTGCTGCTCCTCCTCCTCCTCCTCCTTTGGGGCTGCGCTTGGGGCTGCGGAGGAAGTGCGGCAGATGCAAGCCGTGGCGCTTATGATGGTGATGGGTATCGTGATGCTGCTGCTGCTGCTCTGTGTGCATGGGGGATTGCCCTCCCTCCTCTCCAACCACCCTCTTCACATCCTCTCCCTGCTCCTCCCCCCTCCATTCCCCCGAACCCTCCTCATTGTCCCCCTCCCACATCATTCCCTCTCCCTCCTCCCTCTCACCCTCCTCCTCCCCCGCCTCCTCCTCCCCCTCTCCTCCGCTACTGTCCTGGATTTTCAAGCGAGGCAGCGCGCGCGGAGAGAGTGCATGCAGCGTCTTCTCAGAAGCTTCCTCGTTCACCACCTCTTTCACTTCCTCCCCACCAGACAGCTCCCCCTCTCTCCCGTCGTCCACTCTCCCTCCACTCCCCACACCTCCCTCAATCATCACTTGTCCCCCAAAGGCGTCTTTATTCAACGTTACATCTGCTTCTGGGCCGTCCCTACTCTCGTCCCTGTTTAAGCTTAGGCTCGTTCTCTGCCTATTTCTCATACCCGCATGCACCTGAACTAACCCTAGTGACCCTACATCCCGCCCCGAAAGAGATTCCCGCCCCGATCCTCCCGATACCACTCCCTCCACTTTTGACATGGCTGCCTCTCCGACAGATGAAACCGCACCGCCCACCTTTCCGCCGACAGTTGTAACTGCACCCCCCACTTTCCCACCAACAGTTGTAACTGCATCCCCCACTTTCCCACCGACAGTTGTAACTGCACCCCCCACTTTCCCACCGACAGTTGTAACTGCACCCCCCACTTTCCCACCCACAGTTGTAACTGCACCCCCCACTTTCCCCCCCACAGTTGTAACCGCGCCGCCAACTGTACCACCCACAGTTGTAACGGCCCCTCCCACCGCACCTTTCACAGATGAAACCGCCCCGCTCGCGGCTCCGCCAATCTTAGAGAGCCCGCCTCCTAGAGCGGCAAAGGAGCCTCCTAGCTTCCCTGAGTGGTTCTTGGCGAATGAAGCTCCCGAGTGGCTCCTGGCGAACGACTCTCCTAAAGCAGTCGGAGAAGCGTTTTTTACCGATTGCATGTCGTCGCTAGCACTGCAGCTGGTCGTGGAGATGCTGGCGCCGGTATCGCTGCTGGTGGTGGCGGCGTTACTACCACCAATGCTGCTGCTGCTGTGAGTGAAACCATGGCCGCTTTTGCCGGTCGACTCGCTGCCGCTCCTACCAGTAAACTTACCGCTCTTGCTGCCGCTGGTGCTGTTGCTGCTGTCACTCTCTTCCCCTTCCTCTTCTGCTTCTGCTTCTGCTTCTGCTTCTGCTGCTGAATCCCTCAACGCCTTACTGCTGCTCCTCCGGCTCTTCCCCATAAACCCCCGTCGCGACCCAAGCCCCCCTATCGCCCCCACCCCATGCGCTATCCCCCCGCCTATCCCCCCCACCGCGCCCTTGAACCCGCCTTGTATCCCTCCCCCTATCCCCCCCACCGCGCCCTTTATCCCCCCCTTTATCCCCCCGCCTATGTCCGCAATACCCCCACCAATACCCCCAACAGTGTGGGTGATTCCGCCAACTATCCCCTTCTTGCTGACCCCCTTACTAATGGAATGGGCGATATTCCCGCTAATTCCCCCAACGGTGCTCCCTATACTCGTTATAGAGTGCCCCAGCCCGCTCCCCCCACCTCCCCCGCCTCCCCCACCTCCCCCGCCGCCCCCTACGCTCCCCCCCCCATGCCCCGCTTTAATACACTCCTCCATAGTAGTTCCCGACTCGTCTAAGTACCACTCGATAGTAGGCGCCCAGATTTCCTGGAGCAGCACAGGTTCGGGAGGAGCTTCGGCGCCGGACGGGAGGTCCAGGTTTGGGAACCGAGCCAGGATGCCGCGTTTGGCTTCCCACGCGGCGTGCGCGGCGGTTAGCGCCGCGACGGCCGCTTTCCGGTTCTGCGGTTGCTCATTGAATCCCAGGGTTATGAGATGGCGGGAATCGGCTGGGGAGGGAAAGAAGGAAGAAGAGGGAGAGGGGGGAGAGGGGGGAGAAGGGGGGGAGGGGGGAGAGGGGAGAGGGGGGAGAGGGGGAGAGGGGGGAGAGGGGGGAGAAGGGGGGAAGGGTGGAGAAGGGGAGAAGGGGGAGAAGGGGAGAAGGGGGAGAAGGGGAGAAGGGGAGAAGGGATGGAGGTTTGAGAGGCGGTGCATAACGCTGCGACGGTGGCTTTCCGACTCTGGGGCTGCTCGTTAAATCACAGGGATATGGGATGGCGGGAGTCGGCTGGGTAGGGAAAGGCGGAAGACGCCTACTGCTTCAGGAGGAAGAAGCCTCGGAGGAATTCCTCACAAGCCCCCCCCACCCCTCCTCCTTCCACCCATCTCCGTTCCCCCCACATTTTTTAGGCGCCTTAAAAATAGAAGCCTACTGTTTAAGGAGTCTCGGAGGAATCCCTCACAAGTCCCCCCTCCCATCCATCTCTTTCATAAGGGGGACTTCTGAGGAATTTCATCTCTTTCTTTTGTGAGGAATTTCATCTCTTTCTTTTGTGAGGAATTTCATCTCTTTCTTTTGTGAGGAATTTCATCTCTTTCTTTTGTGAGGAATTTCATCTCTTTCTTTTGTGAGGAATTTCATCTCTTTCTTTTGTGAGGAATTTCATCTCTTTCTTTTGTGAGGAATTTCATCTCTTTTCTTTTGTGAGGAATTTCATCTCTTTCTTTTGTGAGGAATTTCATCTCTTTTCTTTTGTGAGGAATTTCATCTCTTTTCTTTTGTGAGGAATTTCATCACTTTTCTTTTGTGAGGAATTTCAACTCTCTTTTGAGTCTGCTTTTGAGTCGACTCAAAAGCAGACCTGTGAGGAATTTCATCTCCTCCCCACCTTCTCTCCCGCACACCCCTCCTCGACATTGCTAGTCGTTTTTCCGAACAAACGCGTCTCCGAAACCTACGTTTCTTCGTCGCTGTAAAAAATACCGCTAAAAGAGCCGCTGCGTTGCCTGAGGTTTTCGCAAGCCCTTTATTTCCTTAGCCACTGAGCAACTTGCTAACGACAGTGGACAGTATTTTCACCCTAAAGCAAACGCGTCGTAGAGGCCGTTAAAAAAAAGAAAAAGAAAAAAGGTGGTTACCTGTTTTGAGCCATTTTTTCATTCGTTCGAGTTCGCCTGGCTTCTCCCGCTGCAGATCGGCGATATTCTTCAGCAGATGCTCCCACGCGTCGTTCGACGAAAGCGCGATAACCGTCCACGAAACCGTCCCTTCGTCTTCGCGAATCGTCGCGAACGCGCCCAGCGGCCGCACCGAGTACAGCTGCCCCGGTCTCGCAACCGTACCGCCGACCTCTATAACGCGTACGGGCCCGCCCGCGAACGGCAGCAGCCGGCCGTTTCCCACGTCGCACTCCTCCTTGGGCTCCTGCCACGTCTGCGTCGCGATTCCGATGTTCCACGTGGCCGTCGCCGTGTATCGCGCCGCGCTTCCGTCTCGCGCCACGTGGCGAATAGGATTGTAGTCCTCGTCATCCGCGACCTCGACCATCGTCGATGTGCCTTTCGGCGTGTGGCAGAGGAAATTAAAGCCGTCGTCCGCGGCGCGGTGAGGTAAGTCGTGCCAGGGGGAGATAATTTGGAAATCGTCGTCGAAGAATAATCGGCGGTGCGCGAGAGTGCCTTCCGGACCGAACGCGACGGAGAGCCCGTCGGCGTCCGTGTTGCGCTTCATTTCCGACGCCATGGCTGCTGTCCCGCGTGCGAGCCCGTTTCGCGTTATTATAACGAGCCGTTACTAGACACCGCGTACAAAACCGCGTGCACTAAGGTATTGAGAACGAAGTCGCATTGCTAGCAACGTGGGGGAGGAGAAAGTGGGGTTAGCAATGCTTTCTCTGCTCTCTCGACTAATACATAGCGGAATGAAACAAATAAACCACCACTACCACCCACACGCGACGCATGACGCAACCAGCCACTTCTGGAATCCCGCTCCAACCTCCCCACCTCTCTTGGAGTCGGCTCAAATCAGAAGCTCGCTCCTTCGAAAAGCTCACTCCTTTCAAAAGCTCGCTCACTTCAAGGGTGTTGACGCCAGCTAAGCTTAGCTGACATCAACTCGCCCCCAAAGCTGCTCATCGGAGGGGGGCGTCAAACCACCCGCGTATGTAACCCTACTTTTACATGTTCACGAATGCGAATTCTGCCCAAACAGTGATTGGCATGGAAAATTCCTGCAAGGGCAAGGCAGGGATACAAAATGTTACCACATCAACAGCACGATCTTCGTGCTGGATCGAGAGAGACGCGTGGCTCGCGTCTGCAACTACTTCCTTCGCGAGAATCCGGGGTTTTCGTTACTTCGTATTCGGTGTCTTGTTGAGTCCGTCAGTGTTTTGTGGACAGCTCATTTACTGCCCGATCAATTGTTGAGAAACCCTTGTTTGATGTCAATCGTGATTACAGGATTTCGGGAGCCCTGCTTTGGCCATCCCGGAAATCGTCACTTAGCGTGTACAGTGACCCGCTTTGGAATTCAGTTACGTCCCACCAAGGCTACTTTGGCCACCCTCTTACCTATTTGTGAAGAACATCAAATGTCCATCGCCCAGGGTGAATTGAGGTGAAGTGAGAGCGGACTCCGCAGCGAGTGTTAGACCCGAGGGTTTAGCGAGAAGACCCGAGGCTGGGAAAAAAAATGCATTAGGTGCAAGGAGAAATTGACGGTGTCTACCGAGTGGCCGACTATTCTAAGAGCTCGAACTTCGCGCAGAATATCGCCTGCCAATATAGGACCAGAAGAACTAAGCTGTAGCAATCCCTTGTGCTTTCAATTCAGTCGCAGTTCGCTTTTGCGACAAAGTGATGCTGTTTCGGTCCTTCGTCGTCAAGTACGTCGTCAAGTACACAAAACCCGCTGTTAGGTTGTGACGACCCGCCGCTCCTTCTGTCGCGGGTTGACCTCGGGTCTGACACTCGTTCCGCAAACAACACTGAGGTCAGTGAAGCGGTGCAATGGTGGTGGGCGGAGCGATAGGCCTCCTGCTCGTGGCATGATGCTGCCCCCTCCCACCCCCACCCACTCCCCCACCCACTCCCCGAGCATGGTCTGGCTCTAAGAGTTTTTTCGTTTCCAATAGACCCTGCTCGGAATAGGGGCGAACTCCCAGGAAGCCTCCCCGCCCACGCTGTTCGTGGAAAATAGTGGCGAAGATAGCTCAGGGTCACTTCCGAAGCGAGTGTTAGACCCGAGAGCTTAGAGGGAAGATCCGAGGCTGAAAAAAAAACTGCATTGGGTCTTGCGAAAAACTGACGGCTCCAGCCAGTCAGCTGTCAAACCGAACAACTAACACAGCCGCGCAAATGAACTTCCACCAGTCATAGCTTCGTAAATTTCTGTTGGACTTGAAAAGCTCTACCAGTATAGTCGCAACCCTCCCCTTGCGAAAGTCCACGACTATCCGGAACTATAATGTTACTGTTTGATGAACTATTTCGGGTCTATTTCGGGGAGAACATATAATGAGAGAACAAGGGAACTGAAAAGGTCAACGCTGCCGCATTGTCTGCCACCCCGGACGAAGGTTGAAGATAAAAATGCTGCCCGCTTGTCAGTGATTGGGCAGGTAAAATATCGGGACTCTTTTCAGGAGCTGGCCTCCTGTGCTTTCCCGTCAGGTGCCAGTCACTCACCTCACCAGGCCCAGCAGGACGGAACCTAAAACGCAATGTACACTCTGTCTCTCCAGTGAAACGTTTTGGATTTTAGTGTGCTGTATAATCAGGAAGTGAAATTTGGGGCACCACGCTGCGCACAACGTGTCGAAAGCCGTTGACGAAACAGAGCGTCCTCCTTACAAGCACTTCATCGGTCCCAAATCAATACAAAAGCCCTCTAAAATGCTCCATTCATTCATCAAGCTCCGTACATATTCTAAGGTTGGATGAGAAAACTGGAAAAAAAAATCCACCTGAACAAGCAGCTACCAGCAGGACCTGCTCCTCAGTGCCACGTGCCCTCCCATCTCATCCCTGTTTCTTGCCTCTTGTATCACTCTCCGCACGGCACCCATAGTCTCTATCCTGGTACACCCTCACTTCCACCATCTTACGAAAGCTAACTCTCCTGGGACTGGGAGGCACAACTGCAACTGGCCCCTTAGCTACAGGTCCGGTTGCTGCCAGCTCTGCTGCTGCCCCTGGTAATGATGCTGCAGGTGCAGCAGCTGGTGGTGCTGCTGCTGGCAGTGGTGCTGCTGGCGGTGCTGCTGGTGGTGGTTCTGCTGCCCTCCAACCATTGTCGGACGCCAGTGGCACACATCCACTGAAGCTGACTTCCCTAGGGCTTGGGGACCCACTGGGAAGAGAACACTGGTCTAGGTGGCTCGCCTGTGAGCTAGGGGCTGTGTTGGTGGTTACATGGGTGGCTGTGAGGGGGGCTGTTAGAGATGCTGCTGAGTGTGACCTGCTGTTGTGTGAGGATTCGTTCATGGTAGTTAGGTCAGGAAAAGTGACCCTGCGTGGACTGGCTGGGATTGCTGCTGCTGCTGATGGAGATGCACAAGCAGCCTTGCTGCGAGAAGAAATTCGTTTTCTGCTGCTGCTGCTCCCATCGCTGCTGCTGCTGCTGCTGCTGTGGTTGCTGCTGCACGTACTGCTGGTGTCTGTGTCACTTGAACTCAACCCAGTTGCAGCAGGCGCTGCAGCAGAATCGCTGGAAGGAGCCACAGCACCAACAAGAGCAGGGGCAACACTGGTGGTCGTGGCAGCATCCCCACCTCGCATGCTGCTGCTGCCTTTCAGAGCACTTCGTTTTGGGCTCGCCATTGCAATGCCCATCCGTAGCGGTGGCGAGACAGCAGCGGCAGGAGCAGGAGCAGCAGCAGCAGCTGTAGCACCACCACCACCACCAGTACCACTACCATTCGCACCACCAGCAACAGCAGCAGCACTGCCACCACCACCACCACTACCACCCGAACCACCAGAAACAGCAGCAGCAACGCCAGCAGCAGTAGCCCTTCCTGCCACCCGGATCCCACTCCAAGCCCCCCCTCTCTGCTGAAGCCGCTCCCTCCCTCCCGAACTCCCTCTCTCCTCCTCTCTCTCCCCCTCCTCCTCCCCGTTTGCCTCCAGGGTCACCACCTCGACCCTCTTGTCAAAGCTCACTCGCCGCTTTGGACTCGGGGAGTTGTGAGCTGCCTCTAGGCTCGCACTCCTAGGGCTCGAGGATTTGCGAGTCAGAGAGGAATCGATACTCACTCTCCTAGGGCTAGGTGATTTTTTTGTTGAGTCAAAGCTCGTTCCCCGGGGGCTCGGTGACTTGTGATTCTGAGCCGACTCAAAGCTCACACTCTTTGGGCTCGGTGTTTTCTTCGTCGCATCAAGGCTCACTCGCCTTGGGCTGGGCTGAGGGCTCGTTGCAAAGGGTCCTGCTGCTGCTGCTGCTGATGATGATGATGGTGGTCCTGTGGCTGCACACGCACCCTCCTCCTGCTGCTGCTGCTGCTGCTGTTTCTGCAGGGATGAGCCTCCCGTTTGTTCCTCCACCTGCCAGTCAAAGCTCACAGCCCTTGGGCTAGGTGACTTGTGATCCTGAGTTGAGTCGAAGCTCACTCTCCTTGGACTCGGTGACTTGTGGGCCTGGGTCGACTCAAAGCTCACTCTCCTCGGGCTGCGCAAAGGACTCTTGCCAGATAGTGCTGATGACGATGCTACTCCAGCGTAGGGGGCACTCTTCTGCACCTGCTGCTTTTGCTGCTGCTGCTGCTGCTCCGGCTGCGGCTGCTGCTGCTGCTGCGGCTGCGGCTGCTGCTGCTGCTGCGGCTGCTGCTGCTGCAGGGAAAAGCCTCCCTTTGGCTCCTCCACCTGCCAGTCGAAGCTCACTCGTCGGGGGCTTGCCTGTTGGCTCTTCGTTTTCGGGAGTGCTGCTGACTTGCCACATTCCCACTGCTGACCCTGCTGCTGCTGGAGCAACAGCTGCTGCTGCGCCGACTGCTGCTGCTGTTTGGATAACGAGCCTGCACCTCTTGCCTCGGCATAAGCTTCAGGCACGGAAAAGCGGACCACAGGAGACGTGGTGCGTGGGGGCCTGGCTGCCGAGCCTTGGCTAGGCAACCGGGCCTGCGACACAGGTACGGGAGGAGCTGCAGGGCTAGGAAGGAGAACGTGAGAGGAAGGTTTGGCAGGAGAGGGGATGGATTTAGGGCTGGGAGAAACAGACGCACGGGGCTGTGACAGAGAGGGGACCACGATGGGTGTGGGGGCGTTTTTTCTAAATGAAGCTCTTGTACTAGCCTCTCCTACTGCTGCTGATGCTGCTGTTGGTGGAGCTGCTGTTGCTCCTCCCCCCCCTCCTAAAACTCCTGCTGTTGCTGCTGCCACTGCTGCTTCTCCTCCTCTTTCTCTGCATGCTACCCCTGTCATTGTTGCAGCACCGGATATAACAGCGGCTGCTGCTTGCAACGCTTCCAACGGCCCTCTCCCTGCTGATACCACTGCACATGCTGCTGCCGCTGCTGCGGCCTCCTCCAGCTGAGCTGACGTGGACACGGGTGACGTGGACACGGATGACGTGGATAGGCTTAGAGGCTTTGCCGTTGGACTGGTGCTCAGGTTTGCACCGTTGAAGAAGGAGGGGGATGAGAGAGGAGGGGAGATGAGGGAAGGGGATGGAGGAGGGGGAGAGAGTGTAGGGGAAGGGGGAAGCGTAGGGGGAGAGTGCAGGGAAGTGTGAGGGGAGGGGGAGAGGAGAGAAGGGGAGGGGGGGAGGAGGGGGGAGGGAGAGGCGGATCCAGGGGAGGGGGGAGGGAGAAGGTTGGGGGAGGATGCGGAACGCCTCCAGAGTTTCCCGGAAGCTTCTCCAGCAACAGCAGCAGCAGCAGCAGCAGCAGTGGTAGCAAGCACGGCAGGAGGAAGCAAGCCAGAGGAAAATGGAGGATTCAAAGTGCCGATTGGAGGTAAACTGCCTGTAACTGCAATGAGACCTGTTGTAAAGGGTATGGGTGGGCGGTAGGGGTGCTTTGAGTGCGTAAAGGGAGGAGTGGCTGAATGTGGTGGTGAGAGGTTGAAAGTGGTTGGATAGGCAGGAGGAGTGAGAGGCACATTCCTGTAGTGATGCCGAATTTTGGCCTTTCGAAGCCGTGGCCCTGCCACTGTTTCTGCTCCTGCTCCCCCTCCTGCTCTTGCTCCTCCTGTTCTTGCTCCTCCTGTTCTTGCTCCTCCTGCTCCTGCTCCTTCCACTAATGCTCCTGCTCCTACTCCTGCTGCTGCTCCTGCTGCTGCGCCTGCTCCTGCTCCTGCTCCTGCTCCTGCTGCTGCTCCTGCTCCTGCTCCTGCTGCTGCCCCTGCTCCTGCTCCTGCTCCTGCTCCTGCTCCTGCTCCTGCTCCTGCTCCTGCTCCTGCTCCTGCCCCTGCTCCTTCCACTAATGCTCTGGCTCCTACTCCTGCTGCTGCTCCCACCCCTGCTGTGCTTGCACCAGAAGCCACCTTCCCCGTGTTTCTGAGTCCGGCCCAGTCCACAAACCCTAATCTCGGACCTCCCGCCTTTGATCCCAGCCGCACAACAGCAGAGGCTGCGCTTCCTGCGGTTCTGGGGGAGGTGGGACCTGCCCTTGGGGAGGTGATACCTGCTCTGTGGGAGGTGGCAACTGCCCTGGGAGAGGTGGTACTGGCTTTGGGGGAGGTGGCAACTGCTCTGGGAGAGGTGGTATTTGCATTAGGAGAGGTGATACCTGTCCGTGGAGAGGTCAGAACTGGTTTGGGGGAGGCAGTACCAGGGGAGGTGTTACCTCGAGGGGAAAAGCATTCAAAAGCAGGGGAGGGGGAACCGCCAGGAGGGGAGACAATTTTTGGGGAGGTGGAGATTGTAAGGGAAGCGGAACTGCTCTTATCGAGGTTATTTTCGTTTGGGCTGTTATTGCTGGAGCAGGTGAGGCTTGGGAAAGGGAGGGAGGTACTGGGGGAGGTGAGACCTCCGGTGGGAGAAATTTTGGCTGGGCTGCTGCAGGTCGAACCATCAGAAGGGGAAATACCGCCAGCAGAAGTTGCAATAAATAAGGGCGAATTGCCCTCAAAACTTGAGGTCACCAAACTCTGAATTTGCAGCTCCGGCCGAACCGCCTGTTGCGCTGGTTTGCGCGGAGCTGCCAGCGGATTCCCTTGAGAAATGCCTCCTTCCGCCAAGCCCTGCGAAACTCCTTTTTGCGCCAATCCCTGCAGATTTCCGTCCTGCGCAATCGCCCCTTGCGCAACCGTCACGCCTCGAACCCTAGCCCCCCCCTGACTCCGCACAAAGGGCCCTCCTTGCGCAAGCACCGCATGCGCCTGTATCTGCGCGCCCGCCGGTAACTGGGCGCCCATCGAATCCGCGGAGTGCGTCCGCGGAACCATTTTGCGCCGCGCCGGTGGCGGAGGGCCCGCAAGCCCCGGTCGGCGCGGGGACGTTAGAGCGCTAGCCGCCGTAGCGGCGGTGCGCGGAGAACTCTTGCTGCTTGGATACGAAGGTGTGTAGGGCATGAGCACCGGCGACGTTGGCGGAGAGCGCCGCTGCGGCGCGCCGCCCGTTTGCGCGCTCGTGACTTGCGCGCTTGGGAGCTGCGGACCAGTGACTTCCGCGCCCGTGGCTTTCGCGCCAGTAGCTTTCGCGCCCGCGACTTGCGCGCCCGTGACTTGCGCGCTTGGTGGTTGCGTGCTCAAGACCGTAGTTAAAGAGCAGCAACGGCGGTGCGTAGCGTCGCTTTTCACCGCGCTTCTACGGCCGCCGTCGCCGCCGCCGCCGCTGGCAAATGGCCCTCCAACCCCCCCACCGCCTCCGTCGCCGCAACTCCCGCTGCTAGTACGAGCCGCGACCACCTGCTGAACGGCGGCTGCGGCAGTTCGCGCGCGGGTGATGCCACGATTCGATGGTCCCAAGCCAGTCGCCGCCGCCGCCGCCGCCACCGCTGCACTCCCAGCCGCCGCGCGGGCCGTTACCAAGGACCTATGGAACTGGTTCCAGTCAAAGCGCGCCGACCAGAGCGCCGCCTCCTGAGCCGCCGAGAGGTGGTCGTTTCCTTCAGGGAACGAGAGGGCGGAAGGCGTGGGGGCGAGAGCGGAAGGCGCGGGGGAGAGGGCGGAAGGCGCGGGGGAGAGGGTCGGCGCGCCCGCGGAAGGATCTTCTCCGCAACCGGGGAGGGCGGAGCTGGACCTGATGCGCGGAATGGCGCGGGGAAGTGACGTGGGCGGTGGCGGTCTTTGTAATAGTAACTCCTGTTGCCCCTGCTGCTGCTGCTGCTGCTGCTGCTGCTGCTGCTGCTGCTGCTGCTGCTGCTGCTGCTGCTGCTGTTGCTGAGGCTGCTCGTGCAGCAGCAGCGCCGCCGGTTGCGGACACCCCTCGCCTTCCTCCGCGTTTTGCGCGCCGACGGGGCAGAGCTTCCTTGTTCCGGCTTCCGTTGGTGATGATTCGTCAGCGGAATGCGACACCTCCCTTCCACCGCCGCTAGAAACGGCCGTTGGCTGGCCGTCGAGCGCGCCCGTGTCCGCTTGTCGTTCCGCCATGCGCGGCGACGGCGGGAGATGCGTGACGGAGAGAGAGTCGCGCTCACGTGGCGCGGTCTGTTGCGGGGTGCGCGTGTGTTGCAGGTTGGGGGCGTATTGCGCCTGGAGAGCGGCGGAAGGGGACGTGGCGCGATGATTATTCTGACGGCTATGATGGCGCAGAGACGTCTCGTGAGCCCGAGTCGTGGGTACGCGAGTCGCTGCGGAAACGGCAGCGGCCATGGAAAGAAGAAACGGCGTGAGAAGCGACGGTCGAGGAAGGGCCTTGACGCTTGGAGGACGCTTTTAAGGCTAATCCACGCTCGTGCGAAGCACCTACGACGACGACGTGTATTTTTTTAGCGCGGGCGGTACCAGTACCGGCGAAGGAGGAGGGTGGTAGTATTGCTACGAGGGTCCGACTCGGAGGCTTAGGAGGGTGTGAAGGCGCTAGCGCTAGGGCGGCGCGCACCATCGTGAATGTGACCACGGAGGACAGGGACTCCCTCCTCCACGGGAGGGGGAGGGGTGCAGTGCAGAACGACGAATTTCGTAGCGAGGCGAGGCGAGGCGAGACGAGGCGAGGCGAGGCGAGGCGAGGCGATGTGTGCTACTAGCAGCAAAAGGAGGAGCTAAGCGACGTGAAAGCTGTGGCCCCCGAGCTGGCGAGCGCTTCTATTGGTGACACGTGTCTTGCCGACAGTAGAGCTATTGCCCGAGCTGGCGAATAGAGACCGAACAACGGATAAGCGGCAGCCATGTCATGGTAAATCGGCGATTGGGGAGCCTACCAGATTAAAAAAACGCTGTGGCCTGCAGCTTCGAGGAGGGGAGCGTGCGCTTGACGTAATAAAATCCAAAAAAGACTGGCCAGATCAATCAGGTCTGACTTCGACGCACAGGATTGGAACCTAAAAAAAATGTCAGGTGCAACCAGGATTGGGATCCGACTGAGGGCCTCGATCGCAGCATGCCGTAATGACCTATGACCATGGTCGGACCATAGGCTTGCCGCATTCGGAAAGCTGTCCTAAATGATGCAGGTTCTTAGGAAAACGCGGCGCAAGGGTGATAGTGAAGTGGTGTTCGTGTTGTAGGTGATTGCATAGAAAGGAGCAGTGCTGCTGGTGCCAACAGCAGCAAGATTTGACAGGTGAGAATTGGTTCGACCAGCACAATGTGAGTCTGTAAAACGCATTGACAAGTGCGAGATTGCATTCCGGTTCTGTCTGGTTTTATACATTACATTACGCTTGTTTAACATACAAAACGTTGGAGAGCGTTGCAGTACGGTGCTTTGCAGGAAATCGCAACGCGAACAGGAGTTTGGGGAATGACAGCCAGCAGCACCAGATCAGGTGCTGGCGCTGCTGAGCCTTTTCTGGCGTCGCGGCGGGGAAGGTGGGGGGAAAGGTGGCGCACTTGTGCTGGGGAAGCGAGGAAAGGAGGGGGAGGTGCAATGAGCTCGTACCGTATTGAAACGTATCGTAACGTACTGTATTCATTTTGTTTTTTTTTTGCAAGCTGGCAGAACAGAAGGCAAAATGACATTGGCCCAGGGGGGCTGCTGAGAGGGAGGGACCCACTCACCCACCCGCGCGTTGACACGTGACTGAACGAGGGATGCGTGGGTCTGGGGGGGGGGGGGGGGGGGGGAGAGAGGGGGGAAGGATCATAGAATGGGGGAGGCAGACGATGTTTTGGCGCTATCAACGACGAAATCTAGAGCAATGACCTCCCAAATTCCCAATCCAGCACTGGAAATTTCAGGGCAAAAACGAACGTTTTCGTTCAAGCCCAACCAAAAACGATTGTCATTGCTGAAATTGTGAAACAACCCTCAACGAGCTTGTTGGGGAAGATGTTCTCATAATTTGAATAACTTCGGCAATTATGCACCATTTTGCCTGTGCCGTCATTTCTGTTTCTCACAAGGTATCTTTAAGTGTATTGAATTCTCAAAACAAATCTGGTTCTGTACAACTTCCATCGACGTCTTGTCCCACAAGCAAACACAATCGTACTGTAGGACACTGTAAATTGAACGTGAGAAACACAATTGCCTAATTCCCCTGGTGCATTTCGAACTCTGTTAGGAAAGAAGATAGTCAAGGGCTCTAGTCAAAAGCTGCCACCCGCATAAGCACATTCAAATAACTCGCCTAAGTGCTTGCTCCTGGGTGTAAAATGTGTACACTGTATTAGGTTTCGGTCAGGACGATGAGGCAGATATTCTCGAAATCCTTTGACCTGATTTGCAGGATGGCGGCAAAGGTCTGCTTTCCACAACCAACACTTCTTGATCGGTACGGTTGAGTGCGTCGGTCATCAACGATGACAGATTCTGTACAAGCATAGCGAAGCAGTTACATTCCCGTACACTCTAATCGCAACCCCGTTTAAAGCGAGAAGGTAAAATAGTGAAGGCTGGCCCAACTTGAAAGAGGACTCCCCCCCTGTGACTTCTCTTGGAAACCTCGGCTGACAAATTACTGTTCTAAAGTGACGCGGGTTGGAAAAATTAAGTTTGATCTCGAAGCTGATTGGATCCCGCCAACATGATCGTCGCGAGACGAAACTCGCGACGTGCCAAAGCTGTATTTCTGACACGAAATGCTTGTCAGGGTTAGTGTTTCCCTGTGCGATTCTGGCATGACGAATGCATGCGACGCGTTGAGTCTTTCGGATCCAGTTGGGCCCAACTCGGATTTCTACGTTAAGATGGTATCACGCTTGGTAGGTAGGTCCTGCCACCCACGCTTCCGCCCAAGGCCCTCGTCGCGCCGCCCCTAGCTAATCGCGCCCGTCCTAGCCGGCCTCTTGCGCCGTCGCGCCCGTTCCTAACTGGCCCCCTGCGCCGTCGCGCCCGTCCTAGCCGGCCCCCAGAGCGGGCGCGCTCGTCCTAGCCAGCCCTCCCCTGAGCCGTCGCGCCCGTCCTAGCCGGCCCCCTGAGCCGTCGCGCCTGTTCCTAGCCAGCCCCCTGAGCCGTCGTGCCCGTCCTAGCCGGCCCCCTCAGCCGTCGCGCCCGTTCCTAGCCGGCCCCCTGAGCCGTAGCGTCCGTCCTAGCCGGGCCCCCCCAAAACCGTCGCGCCCGCTCCTAGCCCCCCTCCCCCCTGCGCTCGTCGCACCCGTCCCTCTCCGGCCCCTCGCGCCCGTCCCTAACCGGCCCGTCGCGCCCGTCCCTAGCCGGCCCGTCGCGCCCGTCCCTCGCCGGCCCGTCGCGCCCGTCCCTAGCCGGCCCGTCGCGCCCGTCCCTAGCCGGCCCGTCGTGCCCGTCCTTAGCCGGCCTCTCGCACCCCCCGTCGCGCTCGCTCCGTAGCCGGCCCCTTCACGCCCGATCCGCACCGGCCCCGCGTTCGTCTCGCTGCCGGCCCACCTCCGACTCGTGCCCGGCCTGTCCTTCCCGACCAGCACCGCACTGCACCGCCCGGCACCGCTCTACACCGCACTGCATTGCGCTGTACCGCTTTGCACCACACTGTACCGCACAGCACCGCACTACACCGCTCTGCACCGCACAGCACTACACTGCCCCGCGCTGCACCGCTCTGCACCGCACAGCACCGCGCTGCTACTGCTTCGCTCTTGATGGCGGACTCCGTGCTCCGCTTCGACGCAGAGGGACAGCCGATCGAGTTTGACACGTGGCTGCTCGACCTCCGGAGTCACCTCACTGGTTAGCGACAGGACGGCCACTCCCTGGCGGTCCATCTTGACGATACGCTCCCCTGCCCTAACACGCGTGCTCCCCTGCCCGCTGACCCCTCGTCTGCTGACCGTGAGTCCGCCGCAGCTGCTACCCTTGCCTGCTCAGTTTGGCTGTCACGTGACGCTGTCGCGCAGCTTGCGATCAGTCATGCCCTCCCCCTGTCTGAGCGCCCACGTTTTAGGTCAATCACGACTGCGCAGGAGTTTATAGAGGCCGCCGTCAAGCGCTATTCCACTCCGCCTGCTGCCTCTGTAGGTCGCTTGGTCCTGCCGATACTCTTCCCAGACCTTGTGTCCTTCCCTACTCTCGTCGACCTAGCCGCTCACCTGCGCACGATAGACGCGACCTGGCGTGCTGCCTGCACTGAGACCCAGCTTATAGCCTTTCAGCCGCCCCTCTGCTCTGCCCTCTACCTACTTGCCACCCGCCTCCCTGATCGTCTTGCTACTGCCTGCGACCACTTCCTTAGCACCCACCCTGGTGACCTCACCCTCACTGACTTTGTCGACACCATGACTGCCATAGAGAGCCAGCACTCTATCGCCCAGACCAGCGGTACTGTGCCGGTCCCTATCTTTCAGGGTTGTGCCCCCACTCAGTGCACCTTCTCCGACGGTTCTGCTGCTGTGGATGAGTCCGCGGCTGCAGCACAGATCCGTTGCGGGAAAGGCCACCACCCCAAGGCTGGGCGCGGCGGTGGGGGTGGCGGTGCAGGTGGAGGTGGTGGTGTAGCAAGGTCGCGTAGTGGTAGCACTGACGAGGGGACCCTGACAGGTGCAGCCGAGCATCAGCAGCCCCAGGTGTTGCAGCCCGACACGCACCAGCCATAGCAGCAGCCCTCGCACCAACCTCAGCAGCAGCCCTCGCACCAACCTCAGCAGCAGCCCTCGCACCAACCTCAGCAGCCGCAGTAGCAGAGGCGGGCGAGTGGACTCCCGCCCGGGTGGCCTGGCGCTGGTGGTGGCGGTGGACGTGGTGGTCGTGTGCGTGGTGGACTGCCGGGTGGCGTGTCGGGTGACGCGCGCTGTCAGTACCAGCTCCAGACCGCTGTTTCCGTCCGCTGTTTCGGTCACACCTCCGTCCGCTGTTTCCATCGCCTGCACGATCTGTTTCGTCAGCACTTCGGCCCGACGCCCGACCTCCCCGACTGGCATAGCTTGCTTCGTCGTAGCGTTCAGATCTTTGATATGGACATGGATGAGATTGTTGCTGCCCTGCATGTGATGTATGCTGATGACTCTAGTGTGACTGCTTCTTACTACCCCTTGTTGCCCAGTGTACGCATGTCTAGTCGTGCCTCCCATGCTGCGTCAGGCGTAGGATACCCTGCTTTGTTTAGCCTAGGTTCTACTGCCGCTGCTCTGTCTTCAAACGACACTGCTGTGCTATCCTTCACCCTCGACTTTGGCGCTTCTCGGTGTTTCTTCCGTAACTCCACTACGCTGACGCCTCTTGCTACTCCTACTTCAGTTTCTCTTGCCAGCCCCTCCTCCGGCCCGGTAGTCGCTCGCAGTTCCACCACCCTTCCCTGTCCGGCGGTTCCTTCGGGCTCTCTTACCGGCCTGCACATCCCCTCTTTCTCCAGGAACCTAGTTGGTGTCGGCTGCCTCCAGGACCTTGGCGTCACCACTACGTTCCCTAGTCACGAGCGGTACGCTGTCTGTACCGAGGCCGCCACTGGTGCCCTCCTCACCACGTTCCCCCGAGACCCGGTGTCCGGCCTGTTCACACTGGACACTGCGACCCCTCTGGTAGGGACGTCTTCTCATGTAGCTGCGTCTACCCAGGTTGCTGCGGCCTGCTCCTGTCGGTCGCTCACTCACCCGACACTCCTGTGGCACCACCGTCTAGGTCATCCCGCCCTCCAGCGTCTGCGTCATATGTCCCAGCACGGTCTTGTCCTGGGTCTCCCAGTGTCGTTCCCCGAGTTGCCCTCCTCCCCAGCACCACCGTGCACGCCCTGTGTCAAGGGGCGGCTCAGTCGTGCTCCTCACTCCTCCTCGTTCCCCCCTACCGCCGCACCGCTACATACTCTACACATGGACGTCTGGGGCCCCGCCCCCGTCCATGGGCCGCGTCGAGAGTGCTACTTCCTAGTGCTTATCGACGGCTACACCCGCTATACCACTATCTTTCCCCTGGAACGGAAGGCCGACGTGCCTGACGTTCGTATCCCGTGGCTTGTCTCTGCGCGTGTTCACCAACAGTGCTCTCACTAGCCGGGTAAAACACCCTGATTGCACTGATTTTTCCAGGTATTATCCCTGTTAGTCTTAAAAATCAGACTTCCATGTTTTTTAACACTAATCCAAAAAGTGTAGCGAAATTTTTATCCTGGCGAAAACAGGGTTGCGAGATCCCGCACCCTGAACCGTCAGGATGTCCTGGAAAAG